GTGCTAGGTCGGCGGGTGCTTTCGGCGGGTGCTAGGTCGGCGGGTGCTAGGTCAGCGGGTGCTAGGTCGGCGGGTGCTAGGTCGGCGGATGCTAGGTCGGTGGGTGCTAGGTCGGCGGGTGCTAGGTCGGCGGGTGCTAGGTCGGCGGGTGCTAGGTCGGTGGGTGCCAGGTCGGTGGGTGCCAGGTCGGCAGGTGCTAGGTCGGCGGGTGCTAGGTCAGCGGGTGCTAGGTCGGTGGGAGCTAGGTCGGCGGGCGCTAGGTCGGCGGGCGCCAGGTCGGCGGGTGCTAGGTCGGCGGGTGCTAGGTCGGCGGGTGCTAGGTCGGCGGGTGCTAGGTCGGCGGGTGCCGGTCGGTGGGTGCCAGGTCTGTGGGTGCCGGTCGGCGGGTGCCAGGTCGGCGGGTGCTAGGTCGGCGGGTGCTAGGTCGGCGGGTGCTAGGTCGGCGGGTGCTAGGTCGGCGGGTGCTAGGTCGGTGTGTGCCAGGTCGGTTGGTGCCGGTCGGCGGGTGCCAGGTCGGCGGGTGCTAGGTCGGCGGGTGCTAGGTCGGCGGGTGACAGGTCGGCGGGTGCCAGGTCGGTGGGTGCCAGGTCGGCGGGTGCCATGTCGGCGGGTGCTAGGTCGGCGGGTGCCAGGTCGGTGGGTGCTAGGTCGGCGGGTGATAGGTCGGTGGGTGCTAGGTCGGCGGGTGCTAGGTCGGCGGGTGCTAGGTCGGCGGATGCCAGATCGGCGGGTGCGAGGTCGGCGGGTGCGAGGTCGGCGGGTGCTAGGTCGGCGGGTGCTAGGTCGGCGGGTACTAGGTCGGTGTGTGCCAGGTCTGTGGGTGCCGGTCGGCGGGTGCAGGTCGGCGGGTGCGAGGTCGGCGGGTGCTAGGTCGGCGGGTGCCGGTCGGCGGGTGCCAGGTCGGCGGGTGCTAGGTCGGTGGGTGCTAGGTCGGCGGGTGCTAGGTCGGCGGGTGCTAGGTCGGCGGGTGCCAGGTCGGTGGGTGCCAGGTCGGCGGGTGCTATGTCGGTGGGTGCCAGGTCGGCGGGTGCTAGGTCGGCGGGTGCCAGGTCGGCGGGTGCTAGGTCGGCGGGTGCTAGGTCGGCGGGTGCCAGGTCGGCGGGTGCTAGGTCGGCGGGTGCTAGGTCGGCGGGTGCTAGGTCGGCGGGTGCTAGGTCGGCGGGTGCCAGGTCGGCGGGTGCTAGGTCGGCGGGTGCTAGGTCGGCGGTTGCTAGGTCGGCGGGTGCTAGGTCGGTGGGTGCTAGGTCGGCGGGTGCCAGGTCGGCGGGTGCTAGGTCGGCGGGTGCTAGGTCGGCGGGTGCTAGGTCGGCGGGTGCTGGTCGGCGGGTGCTAGGTCGGCGGGTGCTAGGTCGGCGGGTGCCAGGTCGGCGGGTGCTAGGTCGGCGGAAGCTAGGTCGGCGGGTGCCAGGTCGGCGGGTGCTAGGTCGGTGGGTGCCAGGTCGGCGGGTGCCAGGTCGGCGGGTGCTAGATCGGTGGGTGCTAGGTCGGTGGGTGCTAGGTCCTAGGTCTGTGGGTGCTAGGTCGGTGAGTGCCAGGTCGGCGAGTGCTATATCGGCGGGTGCTAGGTTGGTGGGTGCTAGGTCGGTGGGTGCTATATCGGCGGGTGCTAGGTCGGCGGGTGCTAGGTCGGTGGGTGCTAGGTCGGCGGGTGCTAGGTCAGCGGGTGCTAGGTCGGCGGAAGCTAGGTCGGTGGGTGCTAGGTCGGCGGGTGCTAGGTCGGCGGGTGCTAGGTCGGTGGGTGCCAGGTCGGAGGGTGCCAGGTCGGTGGGTGCCAGGTCGGCGGGTGCCAGGTCGGCGGGTGCTAGGTCGGCGGGTGCTAGGTCGGCGGTTGCTAGGTCGGCGGGTGCTAGGTTGGTGTGAGCCAGGTCAGCGAGTGCTAGGTCGGTGGGTGCTAGGTCAGGGTTCTGAGGTGGCAGGGGCGAGGGTTCTGAAGTGGCAGGGGCGAGGGTTCTGAGGTGGCAGGGGCGAGGGTTCTGAAGTGGCAGGGGCGAGGGATCTGAGGTGGCAGGGGCGAGGGTTATGTGGTGGCAGGGGCGAGGGTTCTGAAGTGGCAGGGGCGAGGGTTATGTGGTGGCAGGGGCGAGGGTTATGTGGTGGCAGGGCCGAGGGTTCTGAGGTGGCAGGGGCGAGGGTTCTGAGGTGGCAGGGGCGAGGGTATTGAGGTGGCAGGGGCGAGGGTTCTGAGGTGGCAGGGGCGAGGGTATTGAGGTGCCAGGGCCGAGGGCTCTGAGGTGCAGGGGCGAGGGTTCTGTGGTGGCAGGGGCGAGGGCTCTAAGGTGGCAGGGGCGAGGGTTCTGAAGTGGCAGGGGCGAGGGATCTGAGGTGGCAGGGGCGAGGGTTATGTGGTGGCAGGGGCGAGGGTTCTGAAGTGGCAGGGGCGAGGGTTATGTGGTGGCAGGGGCGAGGGTTATGTGGTGGCAGGGCCGAGGGTTCTGAGGTGGCAGGGGCGAGGGTTCTGAGGTGGCAGGGGCGAGGGTATTGAGGTGGCAGGGGCGAGGGTTCTGAGGTGGCAGGGGCGAGGGTATTGAGGTGCCAGGGCCGAGGGCTCTGAGGTGCAGGGGCGAGGGTTCTGTGGTGGCAGGGGCGAGGGCTCTAAGGTGGCAGGGGCGAGGGTTCTGAAGTGGCAGGGGCGAGGGATCTGAGGTGGCAGGGGCGAGGGTTATGTGGTGGCAGGGGCGAGGGCTCTAAGGTGGCAGGGGCGAGGGTTCTGAAGTGGCAGGGGCGAGGGTTCTGAGGTGGCAGGGGCGAGGGTTCTGAGGTGGCAGGGGCGAGGGTTCTGAGGTGGCAGGGGCGAGGGTTCTGAGGTGGCAGGGGCGAGGGTTCTGAAGTGGCAGGGGCGAGGGTTCTGTGGTGGCAGGGGCGAAGGTTCGGAAGTGGCAGGGGCGAGGGTTCTGAGGTGGCAGGGGCGATTCCCATCACCATCTGCTCCACTCTGTCATGATTGCACGCGACTTGGTGGTTCATCATGCCCGCGTACAGTGTACATGCCCCTGGGTGAACTATATCTGTAAGCAAAGCTTTGCTGCTTGACTAGGCTAAATGTTTGTTTATGCGATTTTTACAGGGGAGTCCGAACGACTCAAGTGCGACGCACAACCCTTTGGGCCTTATAGACCATGCCACAAACTTAAGTCATTGGGATCAATTGTCCCTCTTCAAGTAAGGGATAACGCAGATGTTTACGCAGTGATGAGCTGATGGCGTACGGACGTCCCAGCCGACCTTACACCGGACGCACCCGGCTCACAGACTTCTACTTGCAGCGTTGCATGCCGGCGCACCGCCGCTGCTTGCGAGCTAGCAGCAGCAGCATCCACGGCAAAGCTACCCGTAGTCTGCAGCTCAAGCAAAAGCCGCTCACCGGCGCTCGCCGCCACTCCAAACATGATTCACTCCTGGCGGATGCCATGCGCCAGGCCGCAGGTAACCTGACTCTACAGGAACACCAAAGGGCACGAAAGAAAGCGTAGAAATCAACGAAACATGACACATGCTGCGCTAGAGTAAAGCCGGCAACACGGTACAATACAGAGTTTTCTTATCAGGTGTCAGGCATGGCACTGCCCTTGCACCCGCACGACACGCTTTCCGTTCCAGCCTAACGATCCTTGAAGGTCCGGCAACCTCCTTCAGTGGCCTTAAACCTCGTTCCTTTCAACAACTGCACCCTGGTCTTAGGAATGAAGCAGGCTGTGCGAAGCATTAATACCGTCAAAGAGGAAGTGTCAATACCTGTATTTCAACCAAGTATAACCAGAACTACGAGAAGCGTGAACGAGCCTCACGAACCTGCCCTTTCCCCCATCCACCTCGCCGACACACAAGAATGTGAGCTAATAAGCTCCCCGAGGGGTGGCGGCGTTGAGATCCCCCCCTCCTCCTGTCGTACATACGCAGCCGTTTTATACCCATAACTCACAACTCGTACGGCATTCAGACGCGAGCAGCCAAGACGTGGTACGGAAAGAGTCCAAGCCCCGACTGCGTCATCACAACCACATTGAATGGTGATCCCTCCGTAGTATCTCATAACCATGACACGCAATCCGTACAATGCAGTTCGAGTACGTTACTTGTTGCTGCAAGGCATCGCATCACACGGTCGGACCAGGAAACCCACCCCACACAAAATACCGTTTTCGTCCACCAATAGCACGGCATAAGGATAAGAAACAAAGAAATCCCGCATATGTTCAAAGACTTCCAAAGCAGTTGTCCAGTTGCCTGTTGACCTGCTTCGGTTGTGGTATTGTAGTCCGCACACCCACACAGGCGACCAGCAGGCAAGTAGACATGCAGGCAGGCAGCAATCCACCAAAGGAATACAATAGCAACCATAGTACCTAGCATACCGGCGGGTGCGCAGCTGGGCGCAGGATACACAGCACTCAGCATCATGCACACACAACGCGGACATCCATCGGCTCACGTGAACAGACTTCGATAAAAGGCACAGCAGTATATCCAATCCAAACACCCCCATGACACAAATGCGCTCATACATCTATTGCTTAAACCTACCCATAGCATACATCCCAAGCGCAGTTTACCCCCTCTCCAACACACACACTTGAAATGACATAGCTTGCTCTTTAACTCGTACCTCCGCGTGCTTCATGCGCTACGTGCTTCATGCCTTCATACATGCCGAGCGCGCCGCTGCCCCCATCTCCCTGTTGCCATCACTAGCCCTTGGCTGCCCTCTTCGGTCGCCTAAGAACACCACCGCCGCCACCGCCACCGCTGGAGAGCTCAGCTGCCTCATTTTCCTTCAGTCACGAACCCGCAACATGCCACACAACCGCCACCGCCACAACCGCGATCGCCAGCACAGCCCCCAACACCCCTAACCTCACCTCGGTACGCCCCTCCACCTCCACCTCCATTGCCTTTGCCCTGATCGCTCTCCGTGTCCGAATCGGCTTGGTTACTACCTGTGCCTCACCGCCCTCATCCCTAGCACCTGCTGCTCCCTCCCCTCCCTCCCCGCTACCTCTTGCCCCCCCTGAACGTCGTCTTGTACTGCAGTGCGAAGTAGATGCAGAGCCGCAGGAAGATGAGCATGCCGATCAAGATGCACACCTCCTTCTGGACGCCCTCCTGTTGGGGTGGGGGGTAGATGGGGGGTAGATGGATGGGCGGAGAGGGCTTATAACCGGACAGGAACTAGGCTGGCAGGTGATACAGCCCCGCCCGCCCCACCTTAACAGCACGAATCCCCATGCTTCCACGCCCCCCCTATCCCCTCCCCTCCCCTCCCACCCTAACGGAAGGTTAGTTGAAAACGAAAGTTAGTTGCTGGTCTGCATTGCCTGCTTTGGACAGCTGGCACTGCAGTATAACACACACGTGCTTTCCTCCCAACCCACCCCGCCCCACCCCTCCACTCACATCCACATTGACCGTGTATATCCCCGCATGCGCCACACTGCACTCCCCCGCTGCCAGCGCCTCCGCGCCCTGCCCCGCGCGCTCCGCCTCGCTCAGCCCCTCACAGCCCTCCATGAGGCGGTGCCGGAACTCAATCTTGAGCAGGAGGTTCCAGCCCCAGTAGATGAAGGAGGCGTACTTGAGCCACGCGATCCAGACGGGGATGCCGCGCACGTAGTACCCGCCCACCAGCATGGTGGTGAGCATGAAGATGGTGGCGATGGTTTGGCCGTTCTGGTGGGGGAGGGGAAGAGGGGGGGGAGAGAGATCAACGATGCTTGCAGACGGGAAGCGTCTCCTGGCCTTCGGCCTCTCCTGTGCAACCCCGAAACCCTGCACCCCGCGCCCCGGCAACCTCATGCCTCCGGCCACACCTTTCCCTTCCCCACCAATGCCGGCCTGCCCCGCCCTGCCCCCACCTGCGGGTTGATGACTGTGGCCCCGATGAGCAGTCCGATGGACTGGCTGGTCAGCACGATAAGCAGGACGGAGGACCAGCAGGAGAAAAACGCACCTGGGGGTGGGGGAAAAGAGGAAGAAGAATGTTGGGGGGGCCGGGGCCGGGGTAGCGGGGAGGTTGGGTCGGGGTGTATGTGGATAGGCATGAATCCATCACCATCACGCCCCTTGCAATGTACCCCACAGCCAACAGCACCCCCTCCCTCCTCCCTCCCTCCTCCCTCCCCCGCTCCTCTCACCCGCCTCCGGCCTCAGCCCCGCCATCCAGTACACGATGGCCACGAAGAGCGAGGGCAGCAGGCAGTCCATGGGCAGGTCGGAGAGGGTGCGCGCTACGTAGTAGGCGGACAGCCGGTACATGCCGCTCTGCCGCTCCTTGACAAGCATCTGGGGGGGAGGGGGAGGGGAAGAAGAATACCAAGTGTGTGTGGGGAGGGAGGGGGGCGGTTAGGAGGGAGGGGGGGTTTGGGACGGGGAGAAAAAACACATGGGGGTTTAGGGAACGTGGTGGGCGGTAAGGTCCTCCTCCAGCACCTGTCGTGACAGTCATGGGGTAGCTCGCCCCGTCCGCATGCTTCGCTCTTCTCGCCCCTAACCTCTTTCACTCCCTACCTACCTATACCTCCCCCCCTACATCCCCCCCACCTGGAACTCCGCTGGGAAGGTGAAGAGCGCTGCAAACAGCGTTGCAAAGCCCATGAACAGCTCGATGAAGAACAGCAGCCCGCCCACATCCAACACCGCCTGCGAGGAGGACAGGTGGGCGCCGATCTGCCACCTGACAGGGGGAGGGCGGGAGGGGACCGGGGGGCGGTTGGCGGGCGGTTGGAGCACCGCGGCGGAGTAAGCAACCAGAGCCTTCCTCCTCCCTCACCAGAACATGCCCGCCAGCACCGCCACCGCCAGCAGCTGGAAGGTCTTCTGGTGGCTCAGCGACTGGAACCGCCGAGTCTTCACGGAGCGGAGGGTCAGGTACTTCACCTGGGGGGGAGGGGAGGAGGGAGAGGTAGAAGAAGAGTTGTATATTGGTTGGGGGGTGGGGGTGGAGGAATGAAGGGAGTGGGAGGATGGGTAGGGAGGAGCAAGAGGGGTTAGCGGAGCGGACGACAAGGAGTTCGACGTGAAGCGACGGGAGGATGGGCCCCGGGGAGGGGAGGTGTGCGGGGGGAGGGAGCGACCGGAGGGGAGCGCGCGGTCTAAGAAAGAGTCCCCCTCCCCACCCACCACCCTACCTGGTCAATCCAAGATGCTCCCCACTTGTCATCCCCCACCGCCCCGCCACTGCCCTCCTCCTCCGCTGCTTCTTGCTGCTGCGGCTGCTGCTGCATGTCACCAGCCGCCGCTGCTGCTGCCGCCACCGCCAGCGCCCCACCACCAGTAGTGACGCAGCAGGGGGCCGGGGAGGGGGCGGACCCGGTGGTGGCGGGCGGGGAGGGGGCAGCGGACATGGCGGCGACCTCCTCGGGGCGGATACCGTGGCGCCCGCGACCTGGGGTGGTGATGGTAAGGAATGGGTAAGAACCCAGGCAAACTAGCGATGGTGGCTGAAGGTGTGAGACGAACGGGTTCGCGTACCGCGTACAAGCGCCCCTCCCTCCCTCCCTCTCCTCCCTCCTTCAATCCCGCACCTCCTCTCCCCCACCCACCAATGCTGCGCTGCTCAAAGGCCTCCACCAGCCGGCGATGAATATCCGTCTTGGAAAAGGAGGGAGCAGAGGAGTGGGGCTCCTCCCCACCCTCCATGTCCTCCTCCTCCCCAGCCGCCCGATCCCGCCGCCGCCGCCGGCAGGAGGTGGAGCCATTCACCTTCTCCCCCTCCTCCTCCTCCCCACCGCCTCCCCCACTGCTGCTGCTGACCTCCTTGCCGGTCGCAGGAGTGACCGCCACGTCACCGTTGGCCAGGTCAAGGATGTGATCTGAAGCGACCCATGGGTCACCACGAGGGAAAATCCGTCTTATTTACGTGGCGAAACGACAACAGAAATGCGCTGCGCACAGACGTGTCAAAGCAAAGAACGCCAAACATGGCAGGTCGATGAGCAATACCTATAGCAGCACTTCGCCGGGTACCCGCGCCACGAAACCCATGCCACCCTTCTCCCCATTCGGGCAACTTGTCTACCAGTATCTCCGCCCCCCCCCACACACACCTGCTATGTTAGTTCCAAAGGGGCAGGGCTGCCCCAGGCCGCTGAACCAGCCCGCCACACTCTGCGCGTCGCCGTAGTACATGCAGCGGCCCTCGGACAGGAGCATCAACTGGGGGGAGCGGGGGTAGAGAGGGGTTAGGGAGATGCGGGGTTAGAGGTAGACAGGAGTAAGAGAAGAAACGATGAGGGGTCAGGGTGGGGTTTGCGGGTGCACGCTGCGCCCCACCTTGTCCATCTGCCTGTACAGCCGCGAAGAGGGCTGGTGGATGGAGGTCACCACGGTGCGGCCGCCGCCCGCCAGGGAGCGCAGCGTGTGCATCAGCCGCAGGGCGGTGGTGCTGTCTGGGAGGGAGGGGGAGGGGGTGGGGGAGAAGAATACACAAGGGGGGAGGGGGAAAATAAAAGATAAGTGCAGCAACGGAGGGGGGGGATCGAGGCAGGGGCCGGGAGCGTGCAAGTCTGAGGTGCCGTACAGGGCGGAATGCAGCACTGGTAGTTGAGCAGGACTATGAAGAGCGGCGGGGCCGGTAGGGGTGCAAGGGGCGCAGCCGCCTCCTGCGCCCGCTCGCCCCCTGGACGCTCCGTACCTTCATCCCTCCCCAGCTGTACCCTCTCCCCCCTATTCTCTTCCCCAACCCTACCCCCCTCACCTAGTCCGCTAGTTGGCTCATCCAGCAGCAGCATGCTGGGGTTGATAAGCAGCTCGTGACCTGGGGGCGGGGGGGGGGGAGTGAGGGGGGGTTGAGGGAGGGAGGTAAAGAGTGGGAGGGAAGGGGCGTAGATGGGGTCGTGGATCGCTCATAACACCATGCATCTTGTGCCTAGGGGAGCGAGTACAGAGAGGGAGTGGAGATGCTGGGCTGCGCAGCCGAGAGGGGGCAGGCGGCAGTTGACAAGTGTCCGGGGCCCGTGCACCACACAGCTCAGGAAAGGGGGGAAAGAAGAAAACCCAATGTGTTGTCTGACAATGGCAAAAGGGGAGGCCGATGCCCTAGGTCACAGGTTGGGCTCCAGCGCCAGATCCACCCGCATCCCGCCCGCCTATCATGTCTCTCAAACTCTAAAACCCTGCGTCACCCCCACCTCCGTCTCCCCTTCCCTCAACCCGCCCCCTCCCCCCCTTCCCTCCCTCCTCTGCTCACCAATGGACACCCTCTTGCGCTCCCCCCCGCTGACCCCCCGCATCATGGGGCTACCGATGATGGTGTCGCGGCACCGACCCAGACCCAGAGCCGCCACCACCAGCTCCACACGACCCAGCTTGCTGCTCCGAGACCAGCTGCGGGGCAGCCGCAGCAGCGCGGCAAAGTAGAGCGTCTCGTACACGGTCAGCTCGGGGAAGAGCAGGTCGTCCTGAGGGGAGAGTGGTGGGTGACAGGGGAGAGGGACTATTACGTATGTATGGGGCACAGACGCACAGTGCTCGCGATACGGGCTGATACTGCCCTAGAGGGGGTTTGCCGTATGGGGAGGAGCGAGAGGAGAGGAAGCGGCTGTGGAGGAGGGAGTGGCCACTGCCCAGCCCCACCGACTGCCCCTACCTGGCTGACGTAGCCCAGCTTGCGCTTGAGCGCCTTTGACAGGCGCGCTCCGTTGAAGGTGATGGCCCCCTCCAGGCGGGCGGTGGAGCGGCCGCCCAGCAGCGTCAGCAGGCTGGTCTTGCCGCCGCCGCTGGGGCCCATCAGGGCCAGAACCTGGGGAGGAGGGCGGAGGGGGTGGGGAGGAGGGGAGGAGGTGGGGAGGCGGTGGGGAGGAGGAGGGGAAGGTTAGCTTGGGTCCAACTGCCCAACTGCCCAAACCATATCCGACTTGTGGAGAGGTTTTCAGCATAATAGGTTCGGGCGCAGATTACAAGCATTCTGCCTTGGCAAAGCCTGTTATGTGTAATGGTGTCCAGCGTTACATCGTGTCTCATGGACAGCAACGTACCTCGCCAGGGCTGACTTCGCCGCTGACGTTGAAAAGGATCTGACGCTCCTTGGGCGGTTGCTGCTGCTTGGGCTCATCTGATGGCTGGCCCTTGCCGCGAAATGGTCCAAGCAGGGCCGAGAAATTCCCACCATGTCCGCCGGGGATGACTAGCGTTGGCACCCATGCGCAAATGTTGTCAAAACGTATGACCACTTGAGCGCTCTTGTCAATAGATTTAAGGATAGACGCCTTAGTAGTAGCGCGCTTTAAACGCTCAGGTTTAGGCGTTTCCTCTTCCGTCGAGTTTTGTCGGCCGTTCGAGCATCGCCCATCCAGTTCATCCAGGGTAATTGCGACATGCGAGCTTGTGGTCTTATCTCTGACGGCAGCGCCGGCTCTATCTGGGGCGTCAACGTCGCCGCTCATGTTGAATTCCAAAGGCTGTGAATTATACTGAAGTTCGATAACTCAAATAGAAATGTCCAAAGCCGATCACTGACTGAATTAAATAGTTGCCTCGCAAAGCAGAGCAGCCAGGCAGCACACTGTGGCGTGGGAGTTCTTGTGATTAGCCTCTAGAAAAGATATTATTTAAACTACTGTATAAGCGTTGAACGCGTCTTGTAATACAGTCCAACAGTGCTGCAGCACGTAAACTACAGGCGAAGAGAAGGCGTCGTACGTACTTCAATATACAAGGCGGTTAAGTAGGCAAAGCCTGAAACTAGTATCCAACAGACCAAGGCGTGTAACCCAGAGTGCCACAGTCGGCCGTCACGCTGACTTCCTAATGGTTCTAATGCGAACCAAAGCCACGTTCCGCATACGGCGGCCTGCAAGGTAAGGCACGGCTTCAGAAGCTGCGTGGCTACGAAGGCAGCGCCCCACCTAATAAACATGTGCCCTTTTACGCCGGATCCCACCGAGTTGAGGCAAACTCAGGAGCGTGAGCAGCTGTGGTGGCATGTCGTATGCACCTCGATCGATCCAACCCTCCCTCAGCCACGTCGTCGCACTTGAGTCCTTCATGCCCCCTGCAAAGTCTGCATTTCTATGCCGCTACGAAACTATACATGTCGTTGTTATAGCCGTGGATTTGTTTTCAGCAGAGTTTGACCCGCGGGTCTGTTGGCCTCCGGAATCATAAGGGGCGTTGTACGAAGGTGCCGTAAAGCCTGCTTGAAGGTTCTGGAACACCTAGAAGTACTTTAAGGCCTCGATCGGGAAGTGTTTGTTTGCAGCTGCTGCATCACGTTTCCAGGTTCTGGTGGTTGCTGTAGTAGGTTTTGGCAGGCCAATAGTAGGGTTCCGGACAAACTGTCGTACTTCCCAGAGTGTAATGCTATGTTCGTTAACCAGTCCCAAGTCCACAGCCCCTACGGCTAGCACGCACACGTATCCCTCCCACACCAAAGCCGTGAGCTCCTTGCCCATGATGGCACACATGTTCCACCCGCGCATCACGCCGGGGATACATGCTCTGGTTGCGCACCAGCAGGCGCCGCACGTCCCCTCAGCCCGCACCCGGGCCCAGCAGCGGGGGTGAGTGTAGCAGCGGGGTGAAGGTGGGCACCAGGGCCCAGCAGCGGGGGTCTAGTGGCGCGCGGTGGTTCCAGGGTAGGTAGGCCAGCCCCCCAGCGGATGCAGTATATATCGCCCATGAGGGCTTGCTGGCCCCTACGCTAGCTGCCAGTGGCCGCTAGTTCGCTAGTTCGCTGGTTCGCTAGTTCGCTAGTTCGCTGGTGCTGCTGCTGAGCGGTTGGGTGCCAGACTGGAGAACTTAACTTGATAGGTCCGATGTGGTGGAAAGAACAGCCGGAGTCGTACCAGCGTGCAGTAGTGCCAACTACTCCTCAGCCGCCCGTGTACGGCAGGGACGTTGGACTATTTGGCGTCACTTCCCCGTGCGCTCACCCTGCCGCGCAGGTGCTGGATCTTGTCTGCAATGCTGCCGCGCCCGTTGGGCGGGCCGGTGGGTGTGGATGGCCTCTAGCTGGCAGCTCCGATGCAAGGGGATACGCGCAGAAAACAGTCCAGGCGACGTAACAGAAGGACGCGAAATGCACTTATCTCAATGGGGATTGGTGCCGGTCAATCGGCGAAGGGTAAGGATTGCCAAAGCAGGGCACATCCGTGGGTGGTTAGTAACGGTAAGCGCATCTGTCGTTACAGCTGGTTTACGGCATGAACACCCATTAGACCACGCCAACAACGTGAGAGACGCAGCATTTGCCCAACACGCCCATTCTTATTCCCTGTCCTTCGCAACAGCGCTGAATACCACAACTTCACAACCACCGGTAACCTGCCGTCAAAACATGGCTGCCATGTTTAGTCAGCAACGCGTAGCGCGATTATCTTGCTACCATTCTACAAGCTCCCGTGCTGCTACGGCGGGAAGCGCTCGGTTGGTCGCTTGCAATGCGCTTAACCGAACAGACTCGCTTGCAGCAGATCGAGCCAAGTTCTTAGCCATTGGAGCGGCCGCTTTACTGTTAGGTATTGTCATGTTTCCTGCCAGAACTAGGCTCCTTTGACAGGCGCGCGGCATAGGAGGTTGCCCTGCATGTCCCATGGCGAACCCTTTTTTTCTTTTCGCGCAGGCACTCCCCTAGACGCTATAGCGGCAAAAGGAAAGCTACCGCCGATTGATACCAGCAACCCGAGCCGCTGCGATGTCTCCGCCCTGGATAAATTCGCGGATACGCGGGCGGCATTCTCCTTGGAGTCCAGCGGTGGTAACATGGTGGAGGCAATCGTTGATGTGCGCGAATGCGACTTCTCAGGCAAAGACCTGGTGAGCGCCTGGGGCTGGTTAAAGTTCGCAACGCTCATGACGGGTGCTTCATGGGGCTATCCAGAACGGTTGCGGTTGGGATCTCTGGATCTCTTCCCACGCACGGACACCCTCCCTCACGCACCGATCCCCCCTTGTCCTGCTGCCGCCTCCTGCTGCCTCCGGCCCCTCGCCCGCACCTCCTGCACCCGTACACCCTCCCACCACCACCACCCAGTCCGGCAAGGTCATGAGCGGCGTCATCCTGGAGAGGGCGGACTTCACGGGGGCCAAGTTCGTAGGCAGCCAGTAAGGCATGAGGGGCTGGTTGGGGGCTGGGGAGGAAAGGAGGGAAGTGACTAACAAGGAGGGTCGGTTGGGACCTTGGAAGAAGGGAGGCTAACCCCTGCGGGGAGGAAGGCAGCGTTGAGGAATCAGGCCGGGACGGGGGAGGAGTGATGGGCGGGCCCTCCTTCCAACCTCCCTCCCTCCCTTCCGCCCGCTCCACCCCGCCCCCTCAGGTTCGCCCGCGCCAACGCCCGCTCCGCCAAGCTGGCTGGTGCGGACTTCACGGACACCAACCTCTACTCCACGCAGTTCGATGGAGCCGACCTGCAGGCAAGGGGGCGGCAGCGGGCCCATGATGTTGTTGTTGGTGTTGAAGGGGTTGCCAACAGTGGGATGCGTGCAGCGCAGGACACTGGCTAAGACACAATACGACGTGCAGGGAGAGGCGGGTTGTGGGCCCTGTAGGCTTGTCGTTAGGTTACTGGGGCGGAGACGGGTAGGCGTGGGTAGGTATGTCTGTATGTATGACTGTCCACCCCCAACATGCGAGGAGGTCCACACCCCATCCTATCGACTTCACCCAGCCAAGCCAACGGTTTGCTTTCCAAACATTTTTACCGGGCTACCCTGCGCTGCATGTGCACCTGGTGTTCTCACGCTTTGCGCGACCAGGGAGCCAACTTCGAGAACTCGGTTCTCACAATGAGCACCTTTGGGCGCAACGAGGAAGGCGTGTGGGCCAACCTGAAGGTGCGGTTTGGGGAAGACATGAGGGGGTTCGAGCAGTCCATGAACAGGGCTTAGGGCAGGTTTCCCGTTAGGGTTCGGGTAGCTGCAACAGGGAATTTGGGGTTGTCGTCGCTACTGCTACTGATTACCGTATGTGGTTGCCGCTGCTGCTGCTGCTGCCGCCACACACACGCACACGCGCCTGCCTCAGGGTGCGCACTTCGAGGGGGCGCTGGTGTCCTCCTCCGACGTGGGGCGCATCTGCGAGAACCCCACGCTGGACCCCAGCACCCGCAAGTACGAGCTGGGCTGCAGGGCCTCCCGCTGATGATGATGATGCGGCTGCTGCTGGCTGGCTGGGAGGGGTGGGGTGAGGTGCGGGGCAGCGCCGTGGGGGAAGTGGCTTGTGCGTGGCGGTTGCATGGATGCAGGGTGCAGGGGAGGGGGGTTCGTTGCAAGGTGGGTCGAGCGCGGATACCGGTACGGTGGAGAGCTTTGTGGAGAGGAGGGTGGCGAGATAGGGTATGGGGGCGTTGGTGCAGTTGGTGCGGCGATGGCACTTCAAATGGTAAAGCGCAGGGTGTGGGGTTGGGACGTGTTTGGGACGTGTTTGTCCTCCAAAGTTACCGCAAGACGCCGATGAAGCCGTGTTCAGGTCCCTTCGGGCCCACCTCATGTACCGTATGTCTCATGTATGTTACCATGCAGCTCACGACCGGATCACGGTTCTGACCAGCCGCCACAACACCACTGCCTCTGCTAGCGCTGGCCGCTTCCCGTACTTGCAAGAAAAGTCACGTAAGACCGGGCCATAAACGGAAACTAAACCGTATTCCTGCTCCTGTTGACCCCGCCTGTTCATAACGCTGCCCCGCGCGCCAAAGCCTCCTGCAGCAGCAGCTCCTCTCGCCGCCACTCCCCAGCACGAGCCAGCTTGGCTTTCTGCTCTGGCGTCAAGGAAGTAGCAGTGCCACTGCATGCCTGCGAAGGCAAGGGTGGAGCTTGAAAGGAATGCGGTCATGTGTTTGAGTGTGTGTTGAGGCCTTCCACTCCGGGTGCTGTCTTATGCCATGCAATGCTCCTCCAGGCCTTCCAGCACATGTTGCGTGCAACCCAGCTTCCGGGCCACCTACGGCTCTACCGGCAACCCTCCCAGAATCCTCACCTCTAAATCTGAAACCTGCCGCAACTTCTTCCGTACCGCTCTGAGCCGCCGCTCCAGATCCGCAGCGCTACCTTCTAAAAACCCCACATCGCCGCCTGCCCCTGCTGCCGCTGCCGTATCCGCTCCTCCGTTATGAGAAGCTGATTCCAGCTCCTTCGCCTTCCCTTCCTCCGAACGTGTTGCCCCTGAGGGCTTTCCGCCTTCAGCAGTTTCCGTCCCTCCGGCTTGTCGCTGCGACCGCCGCTGTTGTGGCTGTGTGGGCGGTGGGGCCAGCAAGACCCGTGGGTCACCAAAGTCCCGCCAGGAGAAGGGCGACAGACCCGGCGGGTCGCGGAGCCCCTGGAGCGCCACCTTGAGGGTGGCTCGGGGTATCTGCCAGAGCTTGTGCTGGCCCTTGAGGGGCTGCGGCACCACCAGCCTGCACCAAAGCAGCGACCCATGGGTCACAGTTGTCCCTCATTCCTCCATGCTTAGCCAACCTACAAACGTCAGGTCCGGTAACTGGCGCAAAAGCACCCCGAACTGGAGCAGGGATGGTGCCATATGCAAAAGAAGGAGTGCAGGGGATGCGGCGGGGACTCTGACACGAAGGTGGTCCCAAGGGACGTGTGGGGTAGCGCATTCGTGCAGCAGTTCCTGCTTTGCCTTCCTCCCCCTCCACTGCCTTGCAACTCACCTCGCCCCACCTTCACAACCCCGCCGCCCGCCTACCTCTTGGGATTCTGGCACAGGAAGCAGAAGGGCGCGCCCACCTCCAGCCGGCACGACTCCGGCAGCCCCGGCCACTCCTCCACTGCGGCTCCCGGCAGCACGTCCACCACCTCCACGCAGCCTGGGAGGGAGGGGGTACGGGGCAAGGGATTGGCCAATAGGAAGGGAATACGGGTCGGGGCTAAATATACCAGTAGCATACCGCTGGAGATCCAATCGGGCGTGTTTTCCTTCCCTGCCTTACACCTTCTACGCCTCCTTCCCACGCCCTCCTTCCCGAGCTGTTCCTGTCCCTTACCCAGCAGCACGCTAGTCGGGTAGGCGGGCGGGAACTGCGGCACCCGGCCATCCAAGCCGTGTACCTGCGTAGCCGCACCAAACGCAGCACCCAGTTGTACCAGAAATGTTGTGCACACTGATGCAGCACACACACGGCACGGCACCGCCAGTTTTCTTAACACACGCATCATCATCCTGCCGGTGATGCTCCTATGCTGCTATTTGGCACGACGGCGCCGTACGGCAGTCACTCGTGCCTGCGTGTAGAAGGCGTGGAGCTCCTCCACATCCTTCGGGTCCACTTCCTGCAGGCGGGAGGGCGGTGGGCGGTGGCACTGGATATGTGGTGCGTGGGCGGCAGACAGGAAAGGATTGTGTGTAACTGTTGTGGATGGGAGCAGCAGCAGCAGCAGTACTGGTATGTCCGAAGGCGGAGCTTAAGGGACAGGGACAGAGAGCAAGAGTAGTGAGGCACCCGGGTACCTTTGAGGTCGCGTGGATCCACAACCTGCCTCTGTGGGTGCTGTCCCATGTGCGACCTGCAGTACGGCATTGGTGTCAGGTGTAAAGGCAGAAGTACGGCACTGGTCCGGAAGGGTGCTGCAAGGGATTCGTCCACGTGCTGGGCGCGGCAATCTTGGGCTTGAGCAAGGCATAAGCAAGGATGGCATGCGTGTAATCTCAAGCTCACTCATGGCCCGGTACGGACAACAGCTAAAGTCATGTGAAGTTGGGGTCAGTGTTGGACAGGGACGGTGGACCTGGAGTACCCGCCCCAAGGCAAGGATGTACTAGGGCTTCCATCCTTAACATGTGGCGTGTCCTGGAATCCAAACTGCCCAGGCTATAGCGGTATGCTGCACACCCGCGGAGCTCACCCTCGATTCGCTTGATGCCATAGACTAACAGAGATGCCCAAGGCTGGTGCATGGAGAGGCAGGTAAGGCCCTCGTCTGCCATGGCTCCACGGTGTCAGGCAATATGAAAGCGAGTGTCAACTTCTATCAGCGTTTCTTCACTATAGAGCTACAGTTACGGAGGAGCCGTTGCTGCAAGTTTAAGGGGTTGCGTCGCGCAGCAAGACATAGCGTTAGCAGATAAAGCGATAAACCAGGATGTGCAGGTGGATAGTTTGAATGTTAACACAACCGTAACTTTTTTGAGGCGTCTGGGGTTATCAGGCCACGCCGGAATCCTTCCTCGCACGTACGACTGTAGGGGAGCTACTCTACTACCCAAGCCTGCGACACAGGGGATTAGTCGCACTGTATACGCTTTAATCTATCCAGTGTACTCAACAACAGTAGGTGTAAAAACGGATGCACAAACTGTGAGGTCCGTCAACCGTTTCCACTATTCCGAAGGAAACCTACTTTTCCCAGTAGCGCCATAATGTTACGCATTACCAGACCGAGCGCATACTGCGGTTCAGTCTATCCTTCCTTGCCCCGGCGTCACAGCTTCCAGGTGCATTGCACAGCATCGCCAGAGCCAGGTGACACGGAGAGACCCAGCAGCAGCAAAGGGAAATCATTTAGCAATGAGCGACGTAGAAGAGGCCGGCCGGCGCACCTGCGAAGCCCTGACGACTCGCCATTACGGGTAAGCGGGCTGATGGCGGGACCCGCGGCAGTCGTAAGGACTTTGGACATAGGTGTCAGGTTTAACCGACTCGGTTTTTCCTACAGGACGGCAACCGGGATCGCCTGTTGGGCTTGTTGACGGAGCGGTCAGTAATGGTGTTTGGAGAGATCTCGAAGGTTTGGGATAGATGGAACGCCAGTCATGTACCGGTATGCGTTCACCCATATGGTCTTTTCAAACGACCGTATCAGGGTAATATATTTCTATCTACTCCTTATTCCGGCTCACTATGTCCAACTATCTGTGTTGCGACCTGGTTGCAACGACGGGTGACCGCATCACTCGGCCCTTTGCACTTGCCTCGACCCCGTTCACCTGCTAACTCGAACGCATGTGAGCAGTAGCATGTGCCTGCTCCCGCTCCAACCTTGCCCTGCCTCCATGCCCCAAGTACCTTGCCGCCCCCTGCCCGCCTGCAGTGCTGCCAAGACGCTAGCCTACTACCTGTTGGAGACCAATCACAACATGCACCACTGGGTGAATCGCTTCATACAGGAGCATCCCATACCCCGGGTGAGCTCCTAGGTGCCCTCCTGGCTGTGCATAAGGCACCCATACGTAACCGGAAAGCATCAGAGTGGGGTTCTTATATTGAAGAGTTGCACCTGCGATGGGGCGCCTCTCCCTAGGGAAGGGCTACCTAGTACAGTTTGTGCAAGTTGAGGCTGAGCAAGGTAAAGAGGAAACAACGAAATGACCGTGCGATAAGGCGTCGTCATGGTTTGCAACATATGAGCCAGCCTGACCCTCTCAGCCCAAACTAGCCAAGCAAGGGTAAGCAGGGGGGCTGCAGCTCTCATCGTCATGTCGCCCGTGTCGTCACCCTCCCTTCCTCTGCGCCGTCTTCCTCGCCCCAAACATATCCTCCATGCCCTCCTCGCCCACCCAGGACGGCAACTGGGATGACGTCAGCGGCGACAACTTCCTGCGCACCCTGATGGCCATGCCTATTGAGGAGGCCATGCCGTGGGTAAGTGTACAAATGGGAGCCGGCCTTGTGACCCACGGGTCTCTCTGGTCCGATATCCATGCTCCAGCGTTCCATATCCTCGTTGCCGTTGTCGCCTCAGCCTCAGCCGCGCCACATGCTTCCACACTCTCACGACACGCGCGGTTCTGCGTAGCTAGGGCGAATCAGGACAGGAATTGCAGGAAGGCACCTCGTAGCGCCTCATTTCATGCCAGTGTTAGCGCCGCCTAACATCCTCGGGCATAGGCCTTGCCTGCATGCGACTCTGTATGGAACGACTGCCGACCAACCCCAACTCCCAACCCTTACCACAACAGACAGCCGCACGGCCTCCATGGACGTACCCACGCATAACCCTACGTCCCAGTGGATAACATAATAAAAATAAATAACCACTATGTCGCCACCCTACCCCAACCCCCCACAACGGCCCTGTCAGGGCCGGGACCCCGTGTTCCACAACACCTCTGGCTGCGAGGTGGATCCCCGCAGCCTGGCGCAGAGGATCATGGAGGTGAGGGTGGCGGGCGGGTTGGGCGCATGCCTCCCTACCCGACTCCAATCCCTACGCCGACCCTCGAGATACGAGCTCCCGTCTCAGCTTGCTTTCGTACCCAATGTTTCCTCCACCTCCTGCTTCGCTGTTATCGTGCAGGGCCGTAACACGCCTGACCTCGCCCCCCGTCTCCCTCCCTCCCACCCCCCTGCCCCTTCCCCCCGCCCCTCCCACCAGATCCGCTCCCAGCTGGCCGGAGAGTTCATCGCGGACCTGCAGCAGGTGGCGGAGGAGAACAAGGTGCTGCAGCTGGAGGCGCTGCAGGTGGGGCGGGGAGGTGGGGGCGGAGGCTGAGGGGCGGAGGGTAGCACCGGTCTACCGGTAATGATCTAATGAAGGGTGGGTGAAGCACAGGGGTCATTGTTAATATGGGATCGACCATTATAAGTGAACTGTTGTGCGGTAACCGATGGCGGCATCCGCAGGCTTCCCTGCTGAGCACCGAGGATGCGATCGCGGACGGCAGCGCTGCCGCCCGGCAAGCAGCCACCTCCTCTTCATCGTCCTCGTCATACGCCGCCTCAACAAGCTCCTCCTCCCTGGACGTAGCCGGCAACGGCGGCGGCAGCGTGTTTGAGGGCGGCGCCGCCGCTGCTCGTGCTCGGGCGCGCAGGGCAAAGAGGTCGGTCCTGCCCAGCCAGCCCACTCCCTCCAACTGGCGCCTGCGGCTGGAGGTTGAGGCGCAAGTGCACGGCGACGGCTCAGACGGCTCCGCCGCCACGTCAGCGGCGGCGGCGGCGGCAGGCCTAGGTGGCGGCGGTCTGGGCATCCCAGACAGCGTCCAAACGGGGATCATCTCGCCGACATGGACACCGCAGGCACCGCTACCGCCGTCGCCGGAGGCGGCGGCGGCGGACGTGTCAGCAGCGGCGGCGGGAACGCCCCCTTCGCCTCCGCCGCTTCACCCGGAGGTCGCGGAGCTGCTGCCGCTGATCAAGTCCTCGCCTGACGTGGCGCTGACGCCCGACGTGGCCCAGATGCTATCCAGCCTGGCCGTGCTGTCCAGCGGGCAGCTGCATCCGGACATCCTGCAGGCGCTGCGTACGGCGGTGGCGGCGGGCGCCCGGCTGCACCCCGAGGTGGCGGAGCTGCTGAAGCTTGACGTGGCGGCGGCGCCCTCCGCGGCGGCGGCAGCAGCAGCCGAGGATTCCAAGGATGGCACGACGACGGCGACGGCGATGACGACGGATGTGGAAGCAGCGGCGGTGGCTCCGCCGCCGCTGGCGTCATCTCCTAGCGCATCGAGCACGGCTGTGCCGTCAAAGCCAACGTCGGTTTCATCGCCGGCGGTGCCACCCGCCTCGCTGGCTTCGTCGACCGAGGGGGCCCCCAACAGTGGAGGCAAGAACACCGCCGGTGACAATACGCCCGTCGCGCCATATTCGAAAGTGACGGCGGAGGCGGCGTCCGCCTCGCCTTCTGTTCAGCAGGTGGTGAAAGAAGCCCCACATGCGGCTGTTGAGGACTCAATTACCAACCTGCAAGATGACATTTGCCTACACTCTGATGAAGAATGACTGCATGGGCGGCAGTGGTGGCTTGTTTGTATGCATGGGGTGCGTGCGTGGCTGCTTGCGGGGAAGATGACCCATGGGTCGGTTGCAGTACCCTGGACGCGCCAATCAAGTCGAGCGAGGAGGGTATAAGACGGCATGTAGAGTTAGAATGTAGCGAGCAAACGTGTTCGATTGGCCTTAAGTAAAACCCTAAGTCATTGAGAGGACAATTTGAGTCGCATCAGCTGCATGGTAACATCGAAAGTGGCAAGATTTATTTTACGCAACCTATCCTATACGACTTCTTGAATTATGAGCGGTTGAGAGAGGAGCGTGTTAGGGTGTCAACCGCCGGTCGACATGTCGTGCATGCGGCGGTACGACATGCCTCGTGGCTTGTTGCAGTTGCATCGGCATCCTAGGGTTGCCGTGTCTCAGGAGAGGATGAAAGTCATCGACTAGTATCGATAGTCTGCGTGGTTTGAAGACTTCAGAGAAGACCTTTAGGCGTGTGGAAGAAGGAAGAGTGTCGCAGTGAGAAGAATTATATCGTATTACATGTTATCTTGCTATGTGTGTCCAATGTATTGTGGCGTTAGCTGTGGGATAAGGTATGGGTGTGCTGTATGGTGTCTGGTTTACAGGATATGGTGTGGTAAACGCTCATCCGGTCGGCTCTGCGGCCTCTCGAGGAGTTGGAACTTTTATGAGAAGAACTTTACATGTTTCCGACACACAAGCTGTCGCATGCGGACATGCCGGGAAGGTCCCAGCACAGCACGGGTTGTGTCGGCAATGCCCCTGTCATGCGTACGACATGCCTGGATCACCGGTAGTCTGCTTGACCGAATGCTGTACAATAATTGTACGCATACAAGGTAGTGTCGTACGCTACGCTGTTACAGTAGGAGTAGGAGGCATGGCGGTGTTAGTGACCCGCCGGAGGTTAAGTAGGTTATAGCCAGGAAATCCACCCAACCCTGCCGTATGTCCTCTTGTTTGCACCTCTTAACTTGATTACCTTCACGAAGCACGCTGCTGTTGTATGTTGGTGTTGGTTGTTTGATCTACAATTGCAGAGAAGACTTACTAGGATCTGCGCCGTGACGACACGGCTTGTGTGTTGCGTCCAACATAAGTATCCAACAATATACCGGTACGTGTAAATACCTCGTGCGAAGTGGGAGGCCTTACCGTGGGCTGCACGTAACCTCAAAGTTCCCAGTGTACGAGTGCTTGGTAGGTTGTGCCGCTGGACGCTTGGTGCACTATTGGGGGTCGGGGGTCGTTCACTGTGTTTACAGTTGGAGCATGCACGCCTAGTAGGCTGACGTGGATGCCTGTAAAAGCGGTAGCAGCCATTGGCTAGGAAGATCGGTAGCGCAGTGGGTACCCACGCCATCACTGTATCTTCAATCCCTCATCTTTACCCGGCTCGATTCTGCTAGGCGAACACCCACACAGCATGCGCCATCTGTCACCAAAGCAACCTGTTGCAATATGCGTGCCATGGTTTCGGGTCAGATCCCAACATCAGGCTTCACATACGGCAGCACTGGATAGAACTTAGCAGTACCGTATACATGCATCATACGGGTGTAGAATACCCGTTGAAGTTTACCACCTGGTGATAACAAGACCAGAAGCCATGAAAGCCCTTGGTCCTGCGCAAAAGCGCCAAACACGCCCCTGGTCCTATGCGCAAATCCACGGTAACGCCACCCCATGAGCACCAGCCAGGCACCCGGACTAAACGCATAAGCATGAACCTCAGATAGAGCCGCACATTCCCAAGGCGCCACGCCCCGGCAATCAGACTCTTGATATCTCAAGGATGTACCCTGGATGTACGGCAAGAAACCTGGGCCCCAGCTTGGTCCGCAGTTCGCGTTGCACCCAATGCTAGCAGCTGCACACCCCTAAAGAAGTCCTCGAGTTGCTACCGGTACCAGTCAACGCACCAAAAATGTGAAGTGGAAACAAAACCCGAACAAAACCTAAATGGCCTCGGATGCTGGCGTGCATGGTGGACCAGCAGGGAAACGTCCGCAGGGAGAAGCTGCAATGACATGTGCTTGCAAGAGACGTGAGGGCCTAAACAGGTCTAAGGATCTAGGGAGGGATGGGAGGGATGGGACAGTTCTATAGCGAGCAAGAAGCCGCCACTACATACCGTGTTACCACAGAGGCTGCAAACAACCACAGACAACGCCGAATCCAAACCGGGTCCGTGCGTTCCATCACACCTTGCTCTCTCGTGTTTGCCTTATTGTAATGCACCATCTTTCTGCCCTCTGCACAACTCTCCAATCGCCTTGTTTGTGTTTACAAAGAACACTGCGCACAATTTAAGCTGCCAAGAAAGAGTATGCAACAACAAACGGCTAAACAGGATGCCTCGAGCTATCGCTGTCCTGTATCTATCAACAACTGCAGTCAGCACCAGAAGGACCGCCCTGTTCGGCATAGCCACGGACCAGGACTAGTAACTCTCAGCGTAATGAAACAGGCGACGAACAAAAGGCACCCTATGCTATGATGCGTATCCTCACCTGCAGCAAAGCTACTTAAATCGATTATTCCCCAACTAACCTGCTGCGAAGCGAAGTCCGTGCATGCGCCATGCGATTGAACGACCTTGGTGACCCATGGGTCAGATAAGCACTCCTATGGGATATACATGTGCTCTGATACTGGACAACACTATTAAACAACATATATCAACAGGACATATTCGACCTAAGTATGCTGAGCAATTCTAAGTAGGGTATACTGCCACATCCACCCAGGCGCGACCTAAACCATGCGAGACACGACCTAAAGGCTAACCAACACCAAAAGCTGATCCGGCCGGCAGTCTTCAAAATCATCCACCCAACGCCCACACAATGCGCTTGCTCTCCGATACCGCATGCAACATGGGTCGGCGACCCCACCTAAACACCAACCTCGCTCATCTCAACAGGAAACCACCCACAAGGCAGGTGGACAGCTTTAGGAAGCGGAAGTTACACTGGAGGACAGTAGCTGAGGACAGCTTTAGGCGCCTTCCAACATACAGAAACCAGCATCTTTTCACCACAAAGTGTTGCGATCTTTGCTGCCCTCGGATCTATACAAAGCTGCACCAAGCCATGGCACCTACTCTGCTGCTATCTAAGAACTCACCCAACGGTCGGATATCGTTTCCTTCACCTTGCATCACCGGCATCTTCTTCGATTTGCTTTCATTCGTACGAACGTAAGGACGTTGACAACCGCGCAGCAATATAGACACATTGCATGTCAGCAGGTAAGCCCACGTTTCGGCCGCACCAGCCAAACAAGAGAAGCAGACTTCCGTTCCCACCTCCTTGCGCGTTTCACCCCGCTGCAGAGAGCCCACGTTGCAACGTGGAGACTCCTTCATGCCGTACAAGCTGCCTTCAAAAACACATTCACCCACTCGAGCTGCTCCAGGCCCACCACGCCAATAAACGAACCCGCATACTGCAGAGGATACACAGCTGCTAGGAGTTAAACAGAATTAGGAGAGGGCGTATCCATTATCTGCTGCTAACCTGCACATCAACAACACTCCTCAGCTCTACCATATTCGTGCCGGACGCAACTACAACCTTCGATAAGGCACCGCAGTGTATGCGTGGGCGTCAGGGACAAAACAGCTGATGCAAAATCGCAAGGCATTTCAGGAACTCTTTAGGTGCTATATGACGATAAGAGGGGAACCAAATGGAAACGCGCGTTGGGGGGCTGAGCTACCTTTAAGACCACCAGGGGTAATGGAGTCGCCATGCAACCGTGGATGATACCGATACCGTTAATCCACATACACGGGGTGAGACGCGGCACGTGCCATTCACGCGTTCCTAAGCGCAGTCGACCCCTCTTAACAAACAGTTGTAGTCAGTTTCAGAATGGTCAAAACCCCATAGCCCCAACCCACGGGTCCGGCAGATGACAAAGTCCCTTTGGCAGTGTGCAAATAGCCTTTGGCAGTGAAGGAAAGAACGTTCATAGAGCGGCAGAGGACGGGGAAAACAGCAACCCTCCCGTCCTTCTCGCTCGCTTAATGACCTAAGCCGGCCGCCTGCTAAGGCTCGAGCTCCTCATGCTTGATCTAAGCCTAAGGCTGTTGTAACATTAACGGCATATGAGGACGCAACGACTGGGAGAGCAGGCCCACGGGTCGCCGTGTCGTGCAGGATGCGCCTGAAGACACTTGCTGCAGGTTACTGCACCCTATATCCTCCGTCCTCCAATGCTGTGAATCGCATTCTGAACCAGCATCCGCAGGTTGATCTTCTGCAGCCTGCGCAGGAACTGTTGCCTTCACGTCAGCCATGCAGCCCCATGCCATTCCTGACGCGCCGAACGGATGTGCTGGCCCCGTCACACTTCCTTCTACCGCTGCTGCGCCTGCTGTCTTTGCGGGTAAGGGCTGGAATCCTATGAACGTGCGCGCTGGCACTGGCCGCGGCCGCTGCCCCGTAGCTGCAAGCGGTGCTCCAACCCCACCCCCACCAGCAGCGCCGGAGGGTCCACGCTGAGCCTGCACTCCGCCGCCCTCATGGGGGTTGCGGCCATGCGGGCCGCGGGCGCCGTCATGAGAGGAGTCCTGGTGGTGGTTGTGGAGCTGGTGCGGTGGTTGCAAGGGCCGCAGTCCGGGTTGGCGCAGCACCAGCAGTTGCGGTGTTACATGAGCGACATGCATGCCCCTCGTGCGAGCAGGAACCAGTCCGGACGGTCCTGGGCATTGAACCATGTGTTCAACGGCTGTGGACACTGTAGGTGCGCCTACATGAGAAGGCGCTGCTGGGATTGCTGGCCCAGGTGAAGCCCCTGCGGTGGAAACCGTTGCGACAGCAGCACAAGCAGCAGTGGCAGCAGCAAATGTAGGCTGAGACGCTGTTGGAACAGTAGCAGCTGCAGCCGTTACAGTCGAAGCAGCAGTGGCCCCTGTGGCCGCAGCCGCGCCTTTCGGCTTAGCGCTGGCAGTGCCCGCTACCAGCTCCTCACATGCACGCAGGAACGCCTGCGCTTCAGCCGCCGGAATAACACCCACGACGCCGCTACCGCCGCCGCTACTGCTTGAACTGCTGCTACTGTCGCCGCCGCTTGCACTGGCGCTACTGCTACCACCACCGCTTGCACTACCATTGCTGCCGCTGGTGCTGCCACTGCTACTGGTTGCATGGCTGCCCGACGGCGAGGTTTGCACCGAGGATGAGGACGACGACGACGAGGAGCAGCACGCACTTGACGGCGTTGACATCACGGCAGCCGCCGCAGCCACACCTGCGGCTGCAGTGCAGCTACGGTGATGACCGTTACCACCACCGCTGCTGCGTCGCTGCGGCACGGGTAGGTCCCGGAACACGGGGGACATCCAGCGGTTGATGGTTGCCGCGAAGGTGCGCCAGGGCGGCAGCTGGCGGTCCGCCGCCTCGAAGGAGGCCTGCAGCTCCGCGCACAGCATCTGCACCAGCTGCACCAGCCGCGCGGGCGGCCCCACGAACAGCGGCGGCAGGCACTCCCAGATGTCCCTGCGGGGGACGTGGTGAGAGGGCGGGCATGAGGAAGGATGGGGTGAGGAAAGGCTGTCATGAGTGGAAGGGAATCCCAAAAAGTGGTGGGAGAGGCGGAGGGCATGTGCTGCGGAGCGCAGGCTGTGAAGATCGAAGCGACACACGTCCTGGAGCAGAGTGTCAGGATGTCCGTGCGCAAAGCGAGGGCAGCTTCCTACCGCAATCCCACCAGGACCCATGAAAGACTAACATATACGGTACGCATTCCAAGAAGACGCACCTAAACCTGTCCGACATGCATCCAGCCCGGAAGTGCTCCTTGAATCCTGGATCCAGCACGTAACCGATTCCCGTACCGGGCAGTACGGAGTAACAAAAGGTATTAGTCATGGACTTTGACCAGTACTGCCGCGAGTCAACCACCCTGCGCACCACCACTCGGTGGCCCAGGCAGCTGAGGCGGAGAGCCACCTCGGGTACGGAACTCAGGTACGGCAGCTGCGGCGGCCCCTCATTGCTGACTGCCGCTGCTGCGGCGGCGGCGGCGCTAGGCATGGCCTGGCAGGCGCGGTAGCAATCCGCATAGAACTGCGTGCAGCAGGGAGGGAGAGGATGCAGGAGATGGCGGAAAGGAGGGGTAACGATGGAGGATTTGCATGGCGTTGTTAAACGTCGAAGGTGGGACAAGCACTGTTGTGGTATCCATGACTATGGAAGCCTTTTTCGGCGGAGCCCGTGACACTCAAGAACTATGGGTGTTGAGCGGTTGCGCCAGACGTCAAGTTCTGGGCGCAAACGCCCTGTAGATCCTCACCTGCCGCTCCACAGCATGCGTGGGCTGGAGGAAGGTTTTGGCCGTCCGGAGCACCTCCGCAACTGTCGGCAGCTCGGGAGGCACTCCCTGCTGCGTGCCAACCAGCTGCGGAGTACTTACATAAGCATGCTTTGCAGGCTTGACAGGTTGCAAGCTCCGCACTTCTGCCTCGTCGCTACTGCCGTTGCTGGCGGCCTTATTTACGCATCGCGTCCAGTCGATGGTTCCCTTCGATGCGTCGGTTGGTGGAAAGATTGGGGCGCAGCCCCGCATACAAGCCGCCTTTGAATTGTGGATGACTGGTTGCGGCTTCGACGGAGCTGGCTGTGGAGGTGCCTCGACAGCTGCCTTGGCGAATACTCGCTGAGGTTGCCCCCGGGGCTGCTGGGCTCTTGCAAATACGTGTGAGTGCAGAGAAGCCCAAGCGCCCAGGATATGGAAGGCGCCGTTGTCCATCAGTGGTATTGCTGAAAGCTGCGGATGCGAAAAAGGGATTTGACATATCAGAGCAAATGCGCGGGCAAAGCGGTCTCCAGCCCGGAAATTCCGAAACGCGCATCCTTCGACCGCATGCCTTCGAAAGGAATGCATCCACATGGAGCAACCAAGCACCATCCATTGGAATGTGAAGAGGAAATGTCGCGCGTCCTCATGGCCCCGTCAGCAGGGTCGTGAGCTCGTGACCTACCAAATTAATTGCCTTCGGTCGCGATCCTCAAGCCAGGCTCTAACATGCGCATTTGAAGATGTTTAACAATATGTTGTCCCCAAAAAACACGCCTGACGCTGAGGCCTTGCGTTAGCCGAGTGCGCTGCCCTGTACCTAACTACCAAAGCAAGGTAAAGTGGGAATTTGCAACCAAAGCAATTTACTCGTGACGTAAGCTGTCAAGTCAAAGTGCTCACAAAGTCACAATATTTACCGTGGAGATATGTTGCAAGTTGCAAAGGGAGGACACACACGCTCAATAACGGGAGAGAGAGCTCTGACGGTTTCCTAACCTACGATGGAAGCAGCGTTTGGCCAGCAACTTTAAACGGGGTGATCAGTTTCATGCAACTCCCGTACGGCTTGGGCGTACCGGTATCGAAGTGGCCGGATGGTGGCCGTGGGGTCAGGATTAATGCTAATTGCTTTTCAGCATTCCGTTCAATTAAGCCCTACTATGCAAGGCTACAGTAATAATGGCTGATGCCGGCAAGCAAAAAACTATTCCAAAAGAGAACCCCGAGCAGGGACGCTGCAACTTCTTTCTATCCGGCAAGAAAGCTAGGTTTTGTCGCTCGTTGGCCGTAGCTGGACAGCGCTATTGCGGAAACCACTTGCATGTCGACGCCGAAGCAAGCTCACCGGCGGCGCTGGAGAGGGTCCCTTGTCCACTGGACCCCAGCCATACAGTCCTAAAAACCGAGCTGGAGGTCCATGTAACCAAGCGCTGCCCAGCCTTAGCTCTGGTGCTACGGGAGCGGGTAAGCCACTGGCGTCCCCATGTCCGGAGTGTGGCCCCCTCCGCTCCCCCACTCGCTCCTACCTGGACACCTACCGTCCCACTACACACTGCTGCTAGCTCTGCATGAGCAGTGATCCTATTCTTTGCCAGGCTCGGGCCGTTGAATTGCCTCCTGTCCTTCCCTGCCCTTCATGGGCACCCCATATCGGACCCCGCAGCCCCCATGTCCTATTTCCAGTTTGATACTCGCAATCCCCCATCCCCACTACCAACAAACCTCCTCCTCTACACTCCCGCCTCCTACGCCCGTCCTCCTACCTTGGTGCCCTGCTCCAACCCTCGCCCCCACAGGCCCAGCCCCACTTCTGTGAGGGCATCAACGAGGGGAGCGACTGCGAACCCGACTTGCCACCTCCACCACCAGCACCAGCACCAGTCCCTGCACGAGCAGCAGTTGATCCAGTAGAACTAGCAGCAGTGGCAGCAACCCGTGACGGGGATGACGGGGGCGGCGGTCGTGGCAGTAGGACTGATGATGCTGCCGGCGTCATCACAGGTTGTGGCTGGGCGGCTGAGGGTGATGTGGGTGGCAGTGGCGGCGGACAGGGCTTTGTGGCGGCGCTGAATCCCTTCCAGAAGGGCCGCGCTGCACAGCGTGCGGCACTGGCTCGCAGCCTGGGGGAGCCGGCGTTCCTGCAGCTGCTGGAGAGGGTGAGGGGCGCGGTAGGGGTGGTGGAGTAGGGCAGGGTAGGGATGGCTTTGTGCATGTGGTAGGGATGGCGCTGCTGGCGGGGAGAGGGAACGGAATGGAGGAGGGCGAAGGAGTGCTTCTTGACACCTACTCGCCTGCTCCTAGCTCCCATGGATGCATGGAGGCCGCTTACACCGCCGTCGGCATTGCCCGCCTGCACCAACGGAACTCCTCATGCCTTCCCCATCCCCCGGTCCCATTCTTGTTCCGTGGTGCCCTCCCCTCCCCACATCCTACCCATGAAAGATTGAGTCCGCCTACGCTGCAGTCTGCGGCGGGCGCCCTCCCGCCCCCTGCGTGCTGCGGCCCCCCGAGTGTGAGGAGATGCTGGCAGCGCCCTCGGACCACCGCCCCTTCGACCTGAAGCACGGCCTGCAGCAGGCCTCCATTGCGGGTGAGTGACCCATGGGTCGGAGGGCCAAGATTGCGGCATGCTGGTGCAGGCGGCAGTGTCATGGCGTGTGGTTCAGCGAGTGGCATGGGGCTTCCGGGGTGAAGCTCACACGCAGCTTCACGACGCCGGGACGTACGGCATCCGCTCACGCTCTAACTCCTAACTAACCGCCGTGCAGGCAACATGCAGCGAGTGGGTCTGCTCGGCAAGGGACCCCAGGTGGGTTGCGGTGGGTCGGGGGCCCAAGACATGAGCTGCGGGAGGCCTGCTTAAGAGGCTTTTACCTCATTGTCAAAGTGTAGTCATGCTCTTGCCTGCCTGGCCTGCGCATTTCGGTCTTTCCTCCCTTGCCCCTGCCTCCCCTCCTCCCACGAACCCCCCTCCCTCCCCCCAGGGCGGTAGCGGTGTGGCGGTGGTGGAGCTGGGGGCGGGCAAGGGCTACCTGGGGGCCACCCTGGCGGCCAGCTGCGGGGTGGGGCGGCTGGTGGCGACGGACATCAAGGCGGGGCTCAAGCTCAAGGTGGGGGCCGGGCAGGGCGAGGAGGGTGCGTGCGAGGGAAGCGGGGATGGATGAGCACACAGGGGTTACCTGCTGCCAGCCCGGAGCGCAAGGAGACATGTATTGTGTATGGTCTTTAGGGTTCCTGCCTTATCGCGGTAAGCCCTATCGCGCTGTTGTAAGCGGCTCTGTTTGTCTTGACACACCGGCCCGGTACCGGTCCAACAAACGTACCTGGGATTTGCGCTCACATGCAGGCCGACCGGCACCTGCGACACATTGTGTTTGGACGCCATCGAGTGGACCTCAAGGTAGGTGTGCAGGAGGGACGCTGTGCGGCAGATTTGGTGCAAGAATTACGGCTGTACGGAGCCTCCATATTCATATCCTCGCATGCCCTGGAACAGCTACAGACCTATATCCGCGGTCACACCCGAGCTTGCTTCCAACCCCACATGGCTCTTCATGCAAGTTTAGGTGTACCGTAATCTTTGGTCATCCAGCATTCCCTCCCCAACATGCGCTACCACCATCCCCAGGACTACGTCCCCGCCGCCACCCCCGAGCTCGCCTCCGCCCCCGCCGGCACCCCCTGGCTGGCGGTGGCCAAGCACCTCTGCGGAGCCGCCACGGACTTCGGACTGAGGGCCTGCATGCACCGCCCGGAGGCGCACGCTGCAGCTTGCAAGCGGCCCGGTTCCGCTGGTGGCGCCGCTGACCCACGGGTCGCAGGGGCCCCAGCGCTTGGCGCTGAGGGCCAGCAGGGGCCTGCTGCTGAAGGTGCCCCGGGTGCCGCTGCTGCGGCGGCGGCTGGGAAGCGGCCGCGGAGAGAGGCTGGAGGAGCGGATGAGCACAGGGGAGCATGTGCTGGTCAGCAGCTGCAGCAGCCGCAGCTGGAGCAGCCACAGGAGGGAGATCAGCCGCAGGATGAGGAGCGCGGGATCCAGCTGCGTGCTATGGAGGCAGGAGCAGGTCGGGAGGAGGTGCCCGGCCGGCTGGCAGATGGACAGCGGCAGGGGGCAGCGGAGGGGGCTGTACAGGGACGGGAAGCGGAGCAGGCGCAGCGAGAGCAGGGACGGCAACACAAGAGCCAGTCAGAGCTGTTCGAAGAGGGCCGTGGCCAGTGCAACGGCCCTGCCAAGGGCAACGAGAGCTGCAGCAGCACCCCTGCCGACACTAGCAAGAGCGGGTCTGGAGGTGGTGGTGCGGTGCTTCGCGGCCTGGCGATAGCTCCTTGCTGCCATCACCGCTGCGGCTGGCGGGCGTACGTCGGAAAACCGTTGTTCCGGCGGTTGGGATTCAGTCCGTTGGAGTTTGAACTCATGAGTTGGATGACAGGTATGCGGCAGCATTGGATCGTGGAGCACGTGGTTCTTTTGAAGGGACATGCTGAATCTTGCAAGCGAACTCCATGATTGCTGTGCTAGACAGAGTCTTGTACCGTCCACACCTCATGATGACCCATGGGTCGCCTCTGCCGTCGCAGGATGGGCGCTGTGCGGTCACGACACTCCTGCCGGCAGCGGCAACAGCAACGGAGAGGCGGATGCCGACACTGAAGATGTCGACGTGCCAGCGCCACCAACATCACAAGAAGCAGCAGCACCTGCACCTGCTCCAGCTGTGCAACAACAGGCATGGCAGCAAAACGAGCAACAGCCGTCAGTCCGTTCGAGCTTCAACCCCGTGTCACATTTACCCCGTGATCGCCGCATGGCGGTTGGCCAGATGTGCAAGCAGCTTATTGACGCGGGGCGGTTGGAATGGCTGCAGGGTCGGTTTCAGAGCGCCGAACTCGTGTCGTACATTGGCCCGGAGGTAACGGGCGAAAACCGGCTGCTACTTGCCGTACAACCGCTGGCTGCTGATGCTTGTTGAGGCACCGGCTGCGATGGGCCGTGACGCCGCTGTGGGCTATTATAACCGGAAGGGTGGTGCTGTTGCTGTGCTATGCTTTGGTGACACACATTGTCGTCATTGGATAGGGGTGTAGGCACGGACCTGGGCTAGCTAGGGATTCCCTCCAACCAGCGCAACCGACAATTAAAGCAGACGTTGGTGGTGGGATTAAGTTACAATTGTGGTCGGATTTAGCTGCACGATAACCGACTTGGACTCTAGGTAAACACTGCGGACTATCCTGGGACTCCCATGCCCTCATAAAGTCATAATGAAATGGCGACAGGTGTTTCTAGACCTTCATCCACTTCTTTTAGGGGCCATTCACATATGAGTGATTTTGGGAATGAGTGCGTAGGAGCGCGTACAGGGGAAAATTGTCCACACTGTAATTTTTAATTACGCTTGGCCTAGAATTATTTTTAACAACGCCTGAGTTCAAAAAATAATTCCACAGGTGAAACATGAGTGAATCATGAGTGAAGTTGAGTGAAGAAACTCTTGAGTAGACGCCCCCTGCCAACTAGCATCCCTATGCCAAGCGCATACTTTGGTTGCTTTCCTAGACTTCGCGACTGCATATTTTTGTTCTCGATATACTACTTTCTCATAGAAAGCTTTGCGCGGCCTCACGCGGTGCGAGTTTGACGAATTTGATAACATTGGTCGCGACCAGCAACTACCGCGTGCGCATGGCTGCGGAGATCTGCGAAGAGCTCATCTTGGCAGGTCTACGCAGCCGCTAGCTTCCTGCCTTGCTGCCCATGTTCGGTCGCGGTCGCGGCATTTCGACCCTCACTGTACGCCCGACCAATGTGAACACATATTGAGTTTTTCCGACTCATTCACGCACCCTCACCCAAAATTACCTCCTTCATATATGAATGTCCCCTTGAGGCCTGACGATGGCCCATTCGGGGAGGCAGCGACAGCTGCTGTACATCGCAATCCAACCTTTGTAAACATTTGGAATTAACCATCACCGTCATCTCATTTCCAAACTGAGGTGCTGTGGTCTACCTCCCTTACGATTGATGGTACGCAAGATGGTCCTTCTGTATGCAAGCATTGTCAGGGCAGAATGGCGTGGTACTCTTTAGCATACCCCAATTGAATAACGCCATATAGTAGAGCCGTCTGTGCCCTTAGACCTAGCGTTATGGGACCCAGACTTCCTTCCACGAACCAGGAACTTCCTGCTCCACGTGCACCGATGCCCGCTGCGCTCGACATCCAAGCAGGCAGCGCTAGTATTACTGAAGCATCGTTCACCTCTGGTGTGCGTCCAAGTCCTATGATGCAACCTGGTGGAGACGTCCTGGACAGCAGTGGTAAGGTGCCAACCCCCGGCCATGCGGCCTGCCTTGTTGAGACCCGTCTAGCGTCCGGCATCCAGGACGGCGGCCACCAACAATTAACCTCGAGGCATGCAGCCGTGAGCGATGAGGCTCTCGCGGACCCCGTCCTCCAAAAGTTTGGCCTTCAAGAGCTTCTCGTACACTGTAGCGACCGCGACTCGTCAGAACTCTTCCCCTTAGAACCCGAAAGGTTGTTTACCTTTCCACACGGGGATTCAAGGGGCGGCAGTCAATTAGCGCTGTGGGACACCGCACCGGCTTTGCTTCACGACAATGACCCCTTCTTCGGCCGTGAGGTGTTTTCGTTTACAGCCTTCCAAGACCACCGCAGCTTAGGCCGCTCCGACTATCTGGAGGTGACTTTCCTCGAGCAGATGCAGCTGTACGTGCTGCTGGAGTCTAGTTCCAAGGTCCCTAAGTGGCTGGTGGAAGACTTTAAGTGCTTGCCAGATAACTTCGTCAAAGTCAATGTTTATGCGCCGGCAGAAGAGCAGAGAGGACCGTGGCTTAGTACAACGTCAAAGTCACTTGCCGTTTGGGTGCGCAGACACCAGTGTGCACCGGGCTTCCGCTACACATTTGGAGCGCCGCAGGGTAAGGAGGGCTGCGGCTTCACGTACCTGCTGGCGTGGCGGAGGCTTGTAGAGGGTGAGGAGGTTGAAAAGGCCCCTGAGATCAGGCACGAACCGATCTCGAGGTGGATCGAGCGAAGATTTAAGGGTAAGAACTCTGGTGAGGATCTGTGGCTGGTAAATACCTGCTGAAGAGCACGCAGACGATGTGAGGGTCTGTCAAAGCATTTCCGCCGTCGAGTAGTGTAACCCTGGATCGTGGTCGGAGCCCCACCGGCTCTGTTTCTGTTATCTAGTCCAACCTGTCCCAGCTCTGGCACAGCTCTTTCCGCCTGTGTCGTTCATGGCATTCCTGGCGGCCGATTACGAGGACCAATGCCCAATTTCCTCTCATTGGTTGCTCAATGCAGACGGTGTGAGAAGCAGGAGACCCTTGGCGGAGGAGACCAAGCCGAGCCCCGAAGAAGTGCTGGCTGACATAGGGGGCTGGTTGCTAAATATGGTGAAGAAGAACCGCTTGAACTTGCAGTATATGGTGGAGGCGTACAGGTGAGGTATACGCAAATCTGCTAACAGGTCTTGGGCTAACCTGATCTTATCAGTCATGTCAATGCACGCTACTAGTAACTTTGGGGTCCTATGCCTGTGTAACCAAACTAATGCATAGGGAGTTTGCGGAAAGCGCCAAGGCGCCCTTCTGTGTCACCGTGGACGGCAAGCAGCAGCTGTTAACCTCGGTGGCAGCATCAAAGTCCACTTGGAGGTCATTCATGCGCTTGGTGGAAGTGGGAGTGGAGATAGATGCCGCAACGTTTAGGTGAGAGGGTTGTTTCCGGGCGTGGTCGGCCAGGGGCTCGAAAGACGAATGGATTCATCTGAAGCCCTATTAGTAAGAGCACATACGGCTGGGATGTAAGGCTTTGTGCACAGGACTGAAGGGCTACCCAGAGTCTTGCCGCACCCCCTACCTACGCCATTATACTACGTTGGCATGAATGATCTCACATGTGAAATATATATTGCTGCTATTATCCTGGTTGCACCCATTCTCCATGCCCCTTAACCCATTGCCCAGGTTCGTCCTCGAAAGTAGCAGCACCCTTCCCTTGTCCGGGTACCTCAGTGTACAGCACTTCGTGCTGTCATACCTGGTCCGCCACCGCAACCCCATCGCTGCAGCCATGGCATTTGCCCAAGAGCTAGACGTCGCGGGGGCAGTCCTGACAAATGGGGAGGCAAGGAAATGGAGGTGAGGTGTAGTAAAGGGGCCCATTCATGCAGGTTACGGTGTCCTAGGAGACTTTGCTGCCTGCCAAGTCAAACCCAATGGAGTGAAAAGCGTGGCTTGACCTTGTCGTCGTTTCGTACACACGACACATTGAAACTTACATTGATCACTTTTGCAATGATCCCAAACTGGAAGGCCAGAAGGCAAGAGAAGCATGTCGAAACATAAGAAGCTACACGTATTTTCATAGCTCCATGGAAACGGCCCAACGCACGCAGGGAGCTCGCCATCAAGCTGCGTGCCGTGGCCGTGGAGCTGTTGGGGTGCCTGGAAATGCCCGGTGCAGCTCCAGAGCGGCAGGTCGAGATCATCCGCCCTGTGCTCAACCCCGAGCGCATCACACGCTCCATCAGTGAGACCAGCCCGCTACAGATCGCGTACGACACCGTAGATCTGGACTTCATGTCAGCACCTGTCGTACAAGGGTTCATGCAAAGCAAATGGCTTGCTGCCGCGGGCACAGGGCAGAGCTCCTCCTCCACGCAAGTCCCAAGTGAAGGTGTGGAGTTGTGGACCTTGCTTCTGCACATATTGACAGCGCGCTGCCAGGTAAGGTCGTGGAGGGATTACGAGGGCCTGTCTTGTTCGTTTGCACTGAGGGCGCGTTAGTTGCCATGGAGCCTTAATGGTGTCCCGTCCTTAACTGGGAGGGCATAGGATTGTGGCAGATGCAAAAATCTTGGCTACCCTGCTTTGCATGTCCTTACCCTTTCCATTCCCTGCATGTTTCTGCATCAGTCGCCTGTTTGCCTGCTCATCTCACGCATGACCAGCGGGCCCTTGTTCTGTTGCTTCCTCAGGACCGTGGTCTGTGGCAGTACGCTAGCTTTCTGCCAATCTTAACCGCTGCAGGCTTTATGGGCACCGTCAGCCAGCCATTCACGTGGTGAGTGGTGCTTGGGCAACCTCTCAGTGGATAGACGCCGTTCCGGGCGCTGGACACACATCCGCAAACGTTTACATGTGAACTGTGCGTTGGCTCATGCATAGCAACCCCAACTCCCTCCGTGCTTCCAGGCTTTACTGGCGGATTGCCTTCATCGTCCACCACGGAAGCCGCTCCTACTTTGACTCCCCGCAAGGCCGCTGGGTGTTCAAGCTCTTCCTGGAGGTCTTCTTCCTCTACGTCTTCCACCATGTGCAGCTCATGACGGGTGAGGATGTTACGCAGTGCAAGCAAGGGGCGTGATGTTGGCATGGGGCTAGAAGATACTAACGTGCACGCTTGGGATTGACGTCGGTTGCTGGAGTGATGGGACAGGTGGGTTTGCGTCAGGGGCCCATCAGCTGGATAACGTTACAGACGTTTGGCCAGCTCTCGGCGAGGATCTCCCCATTCAAGTATAACCTTACATGTTCTGCCACTCCTCAGACGAATCCCGGCTGGTATGGCAGCACGTGGTGCTGGTTCTGTACATTGCGGGCATGGTGGTGGACGAGGTTCAGGAGCTCATGCACCAGTATCACGGCTGCCTAAAGCGGTACTATTCCAGCGGCTTCAACGTTCTGGAGGCGCTGCTGGTGGCCATCTTGGTGGCGTGCGTCGGGCTCAAGCTGGCCATGTGGGGCCTGCCAGGAGGACAGGTGCGGGCAGTGTCTATGGACGTGTGGTTTGCCGAAACACGCAAGAGGCTTCCGGTGTTGCTTGGGCGCATTTGTAACCAGCGGGACTGGCCGTCATAATTAGGGCATTCTGAGGTGAAAACGGTTGGTCTTTTCTTTCCCCTCTCCCTTTTAACCTCGACACAGTCTGACCCCCGCTGGGAGGATGTCCGCATGGCCAAGGAGCTGCTGATAGGCACCGCCTCCATACTCGTCTGGGCCCGGCTGCTTCAGTACCTCATTCCCCTGCACGATGGGGTCGGCAGCTTGCTCATGGTCATCAGCCAGATGATCCGGGAGGTGAGGATTGGGACACCCCGGCTAGGAGGCCAATTAAGGAGGTTATTAGAGTTAGGCGCATGCTGATACCGTTAGAATGCCCTTCACCTACGCCATTACCACAATACCAGCGGGCTCGTACCGCTATAGACCGCTTAATGCTGCCTGGATACGCGTGTTCTAAGCGAACGTCCCGTGTTATCAACCTACTTTACAGGTGCTCAAGTTCTCGCTCCCCGGCGTCGTACTGATGATTGGCGTGGCCTTCAGCTTTTTCTCGGTCTTCAGGTGGGTCATCTCGCCGTGCATTGTCGATGTCGCAGTATGCATTCTTACATAATTTGGCCACTCCAGGCAGAAGGATACCACTCGCAAACTTCCGCTCCGGCAGTAGCAATCTCGTTAGATAGCTACACTCACTGCCGCCGTCCCCCTGCCTGATTCTCTAAACGAAGGTCCCACGGCATTCCGGAGCTCACCTCCTTCCCCATGGTTCTTCTCCAGCTGTTTCGCACCTTTGTGGGTGAAACCATGTTTGACTTGTACACGGAGGAGAGCCAGCCGTACAGTCTGTACGGCAGCATCCTGACAATGCTGTACACGCTCATGGCCACGGTCGTGATGGCTAACCTGCTCATCGCTCTCATGAGCTATCACTACAAACCCGAGCAGGTGCGCTCACCCACCCACTCACCCTTATTGCCCAGGGGTGTACACGTCTTCATTTTACCATCCATCAGTATTTCCTTCCTGTCAGAACCATCCACATGTGCAATCTCCATAAAGACATGTATGCCTATAGTCCAGCCAGGCATTGCTCCTAACGCTTACCCCCTCCCTGCCACGTCTGCAGTTTGACAAGCAGTCTCGGTTCCAGGCTGCTGAGCAGTTGCAGCACTATGAGTACATGGTGGACTGCCGTCTGCTGGGGGCGCCCTTCTCGCTGCCTCTGCTGCTGCTGTCGCGGATGCCAAGCAGCACCCTGCGGAAAGACGACCCCTCCCAGGGTCAAGGTGGGAATGACCATGTCTTCGCTCAATCTCTGGCTGCACCCGCGGCAAACGCCTGATGAGGCGTTGGCTGATTTGGTTGATGCATGCACTAACATTACCGCTCAACTACCGAACTTCACCCTCCCCACCAGGCGCCTGTCAGAATGGTCCTCCTTACACCCGCACCCAGTATGGCCCGCGGCCGAATGGCATGCAACAGAGAGGGCGCCCCTCCGAACAGCTCGGTAACCGGCATCACGCCCCCAACACCGGCACCAAGTATGGGCCGCGGCCGGGTGGCATGCCACCGAGAGGGGGGCCCCTCCAGCATACAGGTAATCAGTGCAATGGCTGCCCCAACACTGCTGCATGGCCGTGTCATAGCTTTTAACGCTGTTAACCCTGGTTCATGAGAGCGGGCTCAATGCTCGCCTCTAGTGTACGTTCCTCACCAGGATGTGCCCTACAACCAAGAGAGTTATCTTCTAGGCTCAATGGCTGAATATTTAATGCATTGCCGTCTCACATGCCTAATATGCCGTAATGTGGATGACCAACGGTTGGGATATTGAGTGGTGATTAGCTCATGACTGACCCAGTTGCCCCTGGCTGACTTCTTGCCTCCAGACCCTGGTGCTGACAAGGAGTACCCCACCGGGTTCAACGCCCTGCCGTACCTGGTGTACCTGCTGACCGTGTACCCCGTCCTGATGGTGCTGTCCTGGGCGCTCTACTTCGCCGTGGCGCCCTACTGCATCGTCTACTTCACCTTTTGGGGATACCGCAAGTGGATCAAGGACAGCGCTCCAGCACCTGCCGCCAAGGAGCGAGTGGGTCGCATTGCTTACTCCTTGGGGTTATGCACACGGCCGCCGCATGTGTCCGTTGAAGATCCTTGCCATGTTTTGCTTATGGGTAGAGATCCTAGCGTTCGTAGCCGCAAAGGCACGTTTTGACGCAAACATTCTCCTCTTTTCGCCATGCCCACAGTATCCGTGTTGGAGGAGTAGGTTGCATGGCCTGGTCAGTCGGCTGAGGCAACTCCTGGCGACCCCTTGGTACCTCGCCACCCGACCCTTTTGGCTGGTGGTAGGGGTGGTGCTCTACTTGGGCCTGTATGGGACCGTGCTGCTTGTCCTAAGGCTGGGCGTCTGTAAATGGGCCGCTAAGGTGGCTTTCAACATTTACGCAGTCCTGGTCGGCTGGGCGGAGGTAAGCCTGGGTTGGTACACCGCTATATATAGACAAGCATGCTTCTGAAGGCCAGACCGGCGCTCGTATCGTTTTGTTGTTGATCTATTGGATGCCGCCCATGCAGCGCATTGCTGACCACTTCAGTACTAACCACGTACGTGCGCATTGCCACTCTTCCCCCTACGCCTTGAAGCCGTACATCCCGCGTCGGTTTCGGTTACAACGAATTCCTTATCTTGAGGAGATGCGTGATGAGGTGGGTACATTACGAGTCCAGCTTCGCATATGCAAGAACAAAGGCCCATACAGTTTAGGTTTTCAGCGTTTGGCCCCCTGAGGGCTGCAGTGCCGTTCCCATGAAAAGGGGTGCTGGGCTTTTTTTCGATGGCTTTCGTATGTGCCACAACGCATCACATGCCCGTGCTTTTTCCTTCAGATGGCAATGGAGTCTGAGCTCGATAGAGCTGTATGGCAGGAATACATGAGAAAGCCTGCGGCCCGGGAGGTAGGTCTTTGGCTTGCCAGCGGCGTAACTGGCGCAATTGCTTGTGAGTGGGGTTATCAAGGGCCCCCATGCATTATTGCCTTTCCTCCGCTTGGAGACAGGTTCCCATGTAAAAGACCATGCAGTTCTCCGTACGCTTGTGCGCTTGTGCGCATATGGTGAGCTGCTTTATTATGCCGCAATCCCTTCGCATCTTGCACGATTATCAGCCCGTACACACCGCAGGGACCCCCCCAGCCTACGCCTTCTGGCGATGACTCCAAGCCGTCATTAAACCCTCTGCATCAGTTGTCCCCGTCATTACTTCGCAACGATTTTCCTGTTGTGCCGCGACGCTGGATGATGCCGTCCTCCACCCTCGCCAGCAGTACTTCAGCGGTGAGCCAACAAAGATCCCTGCAGCACGTTTCTATCTAGCTTTGTGTGCGTTGGGAGGGAAAGGGGCTTAGCGGAAGAAGCGGAGCACCTGAAGCCCAGTGATCCATGAGCATGTAAAGTCTCAACTCTGGAAAGTTGTCATGTACCACCTCTTCCCCTTTACAGGAATCCTCCAAGCCTACGGCTCCTGATGATGGTTCGAAGCCGTCATCAGACGCTCCGGAGCCGCAGCAGCAGCCATGCAGCACCACGGATCCGGTGAGTCTGCCTGCTGAGTGGGCGGGTGATGGGTCCCGTGTAGTGCTTCACCAGCTGCATGGGTACACCGGCAACGTCCTAAGGTTACTAGGTTTTTGGCCTAGATTGCCGTGCGTGGGGATTTGCACCATTCCACATAAGGGCTGCAGCTGTGGAGGCTACTTGCAATGTTCCACGCCTTTGCTCACTTCCACACAATCATGGTCGCTCTGGGCCTGTATGTACTAAACAATACGGTGCTGGCTTGCCCTGTATGGAGCTAGCAGTGAATGTCTCAGTCGGTTGGTTTGGCATTTATGCTTCAACTCCATGTTTTCTTCGCAGGATCACCCCAAGCCTTTCGGGGCAATGCGTGGGATCGCCTCGCGCCCGTTGTCCTCGTCACTGGCCCACAGCACTGCATTCTTTGGCGGTCGTCTGCCATATCGCCTGAACGAGCCGTCCCCCACCCTTGCCGCCATCACTTCAGAGGTGAGCCCACCGTCTGTCTGTTCAACTGTGCCATGCATTACCAGGCATACCTATAGGTCCTATGTCCATGGGGGGGGAGGTACTTCGAGTTACCGGAGCACCCGAAGCCCCCAGTGCTCTAAGAGAATGGTTGTGTGGTGGGGACGGTTTTGGGCCTCATGTTGCTGTCGATGCATGAATGGCGTTTCAGATGAAGACGGTTCTCAACCGCAACGCGACTGCATTCCTGCCAGCTTTCCTCGTTTCTTGCGATAGCGCATGGTTCGCAAGCACTCCCACGCCTGCCCAGCAAATTAAACCGGAAGCCGTCACGCGACACCTCTTCCCCTTTACATGAATCCTCCAAGCCTACGGCTCCTGATGATGGTTCGAAGCCGTCATCAGACGCTCCGGAGCCGCAGCAGCAGCCATGCAGCACCACGGATCCGGTGAGTCTGCCTGCTGAGTGGGCGGGTGATGGGTCCTGTGTAGTGCTTCACCAGCTGCATGGGTACACCGGCAACGTCCTAAAGTAACTATTTTTTGGCGGATATGTTTTACCCCACTACATGGAGCTCCGTACAGCTTCTGCGGAATGCATTGGTTGCATTGTTCCAAGCCTTGACTCGTTTTTGCAACCAACAGTGGGGAAAGCAGTGACCAAGGCCCGACATGCACAAAATCATGCAGCGGCCGCCTGTAAGGGGTTCCGCTGCTTGTGTTTGTCATGCCGAGTGCCTACATGTCCTCAGTAATGGTCCATTGCACCTTGCCCACCTAAGCAGCGGTGCGGCTGGTGTAATCCCTTCTCCTACCCTCTGTGCCCTTCGCAGGCTCGCCCCAAGCCTTTCAGGGCAATAAGCCAGGTGCCCGCAAAACCGCCTTTATCTTTACTGTTCCACAACGCTGCCTTTCTTGGCAACGTCTCGGGACCGTCCTCCACCTTTCCCGGCGCCACTTCGGCGGTGAGACCACGAAAGGTGCACGTATCTGCCTGTTTGGCGCATTGCCAGGCCTTTGCTAAGCAACGCGTCTTGCTTGCGTGGGGAGGGAAAGCGCTTGTCGAGGGTAAGGGGAGTATCCAAAGCCCCGTGTTTAAAGAAAATGGTGTCTGTGGTGGTGGTGGGGGTTTAAGGGGGGCTTATACCTCATGACGTGGCAAAGTGTTTATGTACGAGACAGAGGATTGTCGTTTCAAGTGGAGACGACTGTCTACCCCAAGCGGCTGTGGTTGGGTCATCTCCTCACTGTCTGTGATTAGCTCTTGTGCACTAGGCCGTGGTTCGCAGTGAGCCTGTCCACCAGTTTGACCCGGAAATTGTCATGCACCGCCTCTTCCCCTTTACAGGAAACCCCCAAACATGCGGCTCCTGGTGATGCTCCGAAGCCGTCGTCAGACGCTCCAGAGCCGCAGCGGAAGTCGGGCAGCACCACCGAGGCGGTACGTCAGGGCCTAGTTTGAATACAGGCATGCTGTAGAATCTGCTTCTCCAGGCAGACATCCGAACCATTAACATCACATTCTTGGTTAACTGTTTGCGTGCTTGTACACGTCCGTGAGTAATGCCTGACGGATGGTAAAAGCATTGTTGTGTATGGGTGTGGTTCGATATATGCAGCTTGTCACTTCCGGGCAGCTGTCTACATGCGCTATGATGTGTGCTAACCTCGATGACCAGTAAACGTTTGTTTTTACGTATCCGTCCCCCGGCACGTAGTCGTTTATAGTGGGCTGGCCTGCTCTCAACTATGCAAGCCCTTCCCAATCATTATTTCAATCATTACCTTTCAATCAATAACTACACGTTGCCACTTGCCCCCTAGGCTCCCAAGGCTGGTGGCGACGGCAAGCGAAGTCGCATGCGGCCCTTCCGCAGACTACTGCTGGTAAGTTTCACGTTTTGCGAATTGCGCACCTGTGAAGTGAAGCCTTCCAGTTTGTGACGTACACTGTAACATGCACGTTTTTCTGCCCCTCGCCTCACGGTTGGCCCCCTCCAAAGCGTTGCGCCCTTCCCGCCTCCTAATCGCTTTGCACTTTAGGACTCCGAGACCTGGGTTCCAGGCCGTGACGTTCGGCTTCCTTATGGGTGTCGTTTTAGACGAAGTGACACGGCCGAGGAGGTAAGTCTCCGCAGTCCCGGTGCATAGTTGGGCAATGGTTCCCAATTTCATGCTGGCCCCTGAATTCTTTGTGGCCACGCTCGCTTTGACCTTATGTCCTTCACTTGCCGCAGCGCATTACGTTGACGGACCTGAAGCTTGCTTTGCGCAACGCCGGCTTCACCATGTCGGAGGTGGACTTGGCAGTGAAGGGCAGACTGAGCCGGGATAAGGTAACTGAGCTCGAGGAGCAGGAAAAGCAGGTTGACTGGGGCATGTTGGCCAACGTCGAGCAAATCGAACTGGAGACGCGGAGTGTGGTGGTGGAGCAGCTGGCACAGGTACAGGAGGAGCTGCAGAAGGCGATGAAGGAGCAGCTCGCACAGATAGGGGAGGAGCTGCAGAAGACGATGGAGGAGCAGCATCAGGTGCATGTGTCAAAACAGCAAGAAGAGCATCGTAAGGCGGCGGAGAACCAGCACGCGCAGATGCGAAAACTGGAGGCGGCTGTGGTGGACCTCAGGCGGCTCACAGTCCTGAGGTTGCGGCGAAGCGCAGGGCGTGCACGGCGGGGCAGGCAGGCGGGAAGTGTAGAGGGTGTTGATGGCAGCTAATAGGTTTGGGAAAGCTGAACCTGACGCGTGTGCTGCCATGCCGCTTGCATTGCGACTTGATTACTGTGGGAGGGGCGCATGCAGCCATGGGTTCGTATCTGTCTTGCAATGTGGCAGCAGGGTGTATCTGTATGCTGAGGGGCAACGGGGCGGCATGCGGCTTGAGCGAGTGGTGACGGTTCAAAGACCTTTGCAGCCTTCCTATGATGGCTTTCACGCACATTTTTGTCCTGTGATTCGTGTTTCGCATGCGAATTTAATTGATCGTACCTATCTTGTACCCTGCTGCAACCAACGTTGTCAGGATGATGATGAACTATTGTGTGGCAGTCTGCAAATGCGTTAAGAGGACAGTCACGACTTATTAGGTATACTCAGTAGGTGCAGCAGTGGTTGCCAATGCGTGCGGGTGAACACGCTGAGGCGTTGGGGGTGGAATACCGTAGCCAGCTTCTTGCTTCATGTGTTATCTAATTGCCCCTTGCATGTTGTTATACTCTTGCTGTGTTTTTCGTGCTATTTTGGTATATCATTACCCTCCTGCAGCCAGCTTTGTCAGGGTGAGGACACATTGTTGAGTGTAGTTGCTTACTTGTATTGTGGCAGCGGTTGTAGGCTGCTGTGTACGGGTAAACCCAACAAATTGCGGTATTCGGTCAGGCCAGGCTCCACTGCGTCTAGGCTTTCTATTATTCCATAACTGGTCTTTTCACTTGCATTCCTCATGGATTCAAAGTGCGCGGATTCCCTTTTTCTTCGCCTTCCTCGTTATTGCATGTGGTTGATTGCTGTGCTACTCTTTCGTTTGGTTTGATGGATCTTGGTCAGTAGTGTTGGATACGAGAGAATGGCAACTGGTCCCGTGCGGTTGGGAGTAGATGACCCCACTAGCGTCCTAGCCGTGTAGGGCTACTTAGGCGTGCCTGTGGTTCCTGCCCTTGGCTTGCTTCCAGCTGCTGGTTTAGAGGCATAGGTACGCTTTCCTTGCATGCCATGCAGGTATGGGCGTTGTGTACGGATAGTTCTCCTGTGCTTACGGCCTGGCATGTGCCCCCGTGCGTTAGCGCTTTGGCATTGCTGTGCTGTCGCCGCTCTCGTGTTGGAACAATGTCGGCAGTTGGCCCGGGCGTACGGGCTTACTGAGAATGAACTAGGCGTTGGGCTGCTGCAGGACGCACACCTGCAATAATGTGGCAGGTAGCTAGCTCGGCCACCTGTGGGTGCATGCGCACACCGATAGGACCGCCTCCCAGACATCTGCACATGCTCTGCTGGGCGATGAGCTCAGCTTCGTTCCCATTCCACCTGCCCATGCGCAGAGCTACACGAGCGGTCACACAACCACTAGCGGCTGACCCCGCCACAAGGAGCCGCATCCCCAGGCAACTATGCACGCGCAAAGCACGAACTCTGGTTGATTCTCTGCTAGCATGTCCCGCGTCGAACATGAGCACGTTTGTCGGTGAAGGAAAAGGCACTGCTGCGGTGGCAAAACGGGTCGGAGCGCTACCCCTCTTGTAGCGCTTCCGGCAGCGACTGGGGTCGGACGAGGAGGGGCAGGGGGCGGCCAGCGACGATGACGCGGAGTGGGGCGCGGCAGCAGCAGCAGCGGCGGTGCCTGCAGCAGCGAGGCGCCGTGGGGCTGGCGGTCGCAGCGGCGGCGGCCGGGGCAAGGGGCGGGGCCGCGGTGCCGCCGGCAGCAGCGACGGCGGCAGTGAGAGCAGCGATGCGGAGGAGGAGGATCGGGATGCGGAGTACAAGCCGGCGAGTGGGAGCGGGGTGTGCGTTTTGTGTCAGGAGGGAGGGAGCAGCAGGAGGGAGGAGCGAAGCGACGAAGCGTCATGGGGTTCAATGAGGCGGCAACAGCACACGCCATGCACTTGCTTCCGCCTCAGCTCTCTTCCTCAATTGTTAAACTAGCTACATTGCACGTTCTTCCGCCTTCGCTCTCCTCCTTTGGATCGCTTAAAGTGTTCCGTTGCCTGCTCCCCCCCCATGTGCTTCCGTATGCGCTTACTGCATAAGTCGGGATTTGGGATTCGTCGCTTCACTTCATTTCTCTTTCCCCCCCCATGCAGCGCAACACACTGGACGGTTGGGTGATCCGCAAGCCCCGACCGGGGCAGCAGCTGACAACCCAGACCCGCACCCGCTCGGCCGCCGGGAGAGCTCACTCGTACAAGGCGATCATTGATGTAAGAATTGGATGGCTGTTGGAGTTGGGGTTGGAGGGGAGTGGATCTTCCTTCTGCATGTTAAAAAAGAAACATGGCCTTGTATTTCTGACCTCATCACTTACCCCTATCTTCCTGTTGTCGTACATACCCACCCGCCCACAGGAGCACGGATTGGGGCTGTTGCTGGACCAGGGCGCTGCCACGGTTCCGGAGCGCGGATTCGTGGGTCCGTTGGCGGCCGCCCGGCGCGCCCTGGCTCTCAACAACCGCTCGGGGGAGTTGCCGTGTCGTGAGGCGGAGAAGCAGTCGCTGCGGAAGTTCATTGGGCATGCGGTGGAGGAGGGTGAGAGAGGAGGAGGGGGGCGGGATTGGAGGGTGAACTTGGGGTTTGGGGTTGGTTGTGGCCGTACAGCCCACTGCAAGGGCGCAGCAACACCTACGGCTGACACTTCGTAGCCATCATTAAATGCGCTCTGCTCGTTGCTGGCCCTTTACGTATGCATGATTAACCATACCCCTCCCTGCTCCCCTCACCTTCACTCAGGCGGTGACAGCCCGGGTGTGTTGTACATTTGCGGAGTGCCTGGTACCGGCAAGACGGCGTGTGTGATGGAGGTGCTGGGCGGGGTGCGCAGCCAGGCGCAGAACAGCGGGGTGCAGGTGAGGCGGACTGCTGGGTGTAGTTGCGGTGGTTGGGAGGCGGGCCCCTGGGTTCCTCTTTTTCCCTACTACCGTAATTGACTCCTCAGTTCAGTTTCGCTACTCGGGAATGGAAAGGTGTCTTCTCCGTCGTATGGTCGTTAACGCTACTTCCCACGTCAACTCTCTCCTTCTACCCCCCTCCCCCGGGAAACCCTCTCCCGCCTCCCGCCCCCAGCTGGTCATCCTGAACGCTCTTCAGCTGCCCGGCCCCCAGCACGTCTATTCGAAGCTGTGGGAGCGCATGTCAGGGCAGCGCTGGGGCCCCGCACGCGCGCTGAAGGCGCTGGAGGAGGTATTCAGCGGGGGCAGTGGCTGGGCGGCAGCAGGGGGAGGCGGCAGGCGGCACCTGACGCTGCTCATTGTGGACGAGATTGACGTCCTCATCACCAAGGACCAGGCGGTAAGAGTGGCAGAAGGGTGTACGGCAGATCAATAAAAATGTTCTGTCGCTGCTATCAAGCTAGCAATCGCACGGCACCAGTGTTTGGCGGTTATGGTGGGGTATCATTAAAGCATGAATCCTGGCGAAGAAGCCAGGGGGCTGAAGTTTCGCAATGCGCCGTGTGTAGACATGGCTACCGGTAGGAACTCTTCACCTCTTCCCCCTACCTCTCCTCGCCTACCCCCACCTCCCTTCCCAGGTGCTGTACAACCTATTTGAGTGGCCGCTGCGCGAGGGCTCCCGACTGGCGGTGATTGGCATCTCCAACACACACGACCTGGACAGCCGGGTGCTGCCGCGCATTGCGAGGTGAGCGGGCGGGCGGGAGGGCAGAGGGAGGGACGTGACAGGGATTGCACTGGACAGACAAAAGGGAGTAGGGGGACAGCGACGGTTTTGTCTCAGGGGCCGCATGCATGCTGCTGCAAGACCCCTTGTCGTGTTGTGCTCAACATGCAGCTCTTTGCGCTTTAAACCTCATGTCGTTTCCTCAACTGTGCGACATACCCGCAGTCGCCTGGCTGGGTCCAAGCTGGCCTTCAATCCGTACAACTTTGAGCAGCTCAAAGAGATCCTCAACTCCCGGCTGCAGGTGCGTGTGTTGGGGGTTTACGACATGTGGTGGTTTCTTTGTCTGCAACCTGCCTAGTCGCTTACCTGCTTACATAACGACCCTGTTCCTGCCTAAATAAAAACTTCTCCCGTCTCCCTCCTCCGCTCCTCAGGGCGTCACGGCGGTGGCTCGAGGTGCGGTGGAGTTTTGCGCGCGCAAGGTCGCCTCCACCACTGGTGATGTGCGGCGGGCTCTGGAACTGCTGCGGCGAGCCACGGAGATTGCGGAGGTGGAGCTCTCGACGGCTGCGGCAACCAACCAGCAGCGGCAGGGGCAGCAGGCGGCACCAGTGCAGGACTTCACAAACGTGGTCGGCGCGAGACAGGTGTGTGGACTCCCGCACGCTGCGGGAGTGCGGGGTTGCGAGGGTCTGGTTTGGGGCTACCGTCGATGGCGCATCCAGGATAACGTTTGGGCGTTTCAGTACCCCAAAATTCTCTCGTCCTACCCTCGTGCCGTATAACTGCCGTACAGGCCACCGCCGCCATCAAGGAGATGTACGGCAGTGTTCACATGACGCTGTTGCGGCGTGCGGGTCTGTTCCAGAAGCTGGTGCTGGTGGCGCTGCTGGTGGAGACGCGCGCGCAGAACAAGCCCGAGGTTACCGTTGCGGTGGGTGGATGTGGGTGTTGTTGGCAGCGAAGAGGGGTGGGGCATGTGGGTCTGCCTTGGGGCATGCCGTACGTGTGGATTTAACTGGCCGCAAAGACAGTGGTATGGCCAGCTTATGTTAATGGCGTGGATTACCCCTCCACGCCATGTGCATCGCCACCTACCGCACCAGCATTGCAGCACACTATGTAGCCCTTCTTAAACACCTTTTCCGCCACTCTCCGCCCCTCCCTCCTCCCCTCTCCGCCACTCTCCTCCGCCCCTTCCCCCTCCCAGGCTCTCCACCACCGGCTGTCCACCCACCTAGCGCTGCTGCTGCCCTCCGCCGCCCTGCCCTTGGCGCGTGTCGTGGAGGCGGCTGCAGCGCTGGGCTCGCAGCGGCTGGTGACTGCGGACGCGGGGTGGCAGGGACCCGGCATGCGGCTCACTCTCAATGTGCCGCAGGTGAGTGCTGTAACGGGCATGTTGTGTGGGCGGGAGGTGGCGGTGCTCGGAAGGCTGGACTGGGCGGCTATGGTCACGATGTGTAATGTTCTGGGTCGGCGTCGCAACAATTACCAACGTCCATGATAACCACCGGAGTTCAGCAACTTAGAAACGCCGCAACACCCCTCTCCGCCGCTCCCTCCCCCTCCCTCCCCCCAGGATGACGTGGTGGCGCTGTTGCGAGAGGACCCTGCGTTGGCGGCCGTGCAGTCCTGCGTGGCTTGAAGGAGTGGAGTGGGGGGTGTGAGGGGTTGGGGAGAGCCATGAGGAGTAGTGGGTGTTGCGGGAAGCTAGTCTCCGTGCAATATGAGCACATGTCCTGCTCCTGCATGGAGTTGGATGATGGGGTGCGAGGGTCGTAAGAAAGAGTGTTGGGGTTGTGGTGGGGTCGGTTGTGGGCGGTTGTAGGTTTCGGCGCTAGGGCACATGGGCACTGTCAGTAGCAGCAGGGATCAGGGTGTGGTGTGGCCGGGTACCCTATCAGAAGCAGCAGCAGTGGTGGTGGTGATGGTGGCGGTGATATCAGCAAGGGTGCAGCAACGGCAGCACCGAAAGGGCCGTAGGGGATATCCTGCGAGCTTGCAGGCGGCGTTGACACTGTCGGACTCAGTTGGCTAAAGGAACGGGATCTCATCGGGGGGAGCGGACGATGATCAACACCTTGGTTGATGGACGTAGGTGGTGCTGGGTTGTCCTGTGTTACACGCAGGCATTGGTCTGCATACAGGCCTTATAGAGATGTCGGCACTTCGGTAGGTTACGAGGACAGACAGAGCTTTAGTTGATCTAACGAACATGTCGTGGGATTTGCCGGATTGCTATTGAACGTCGAACGCTTGTTGTGACATCATGCTTAAAGGGGCACCACGGGCTTGTGTTAAACGAATTTGTAGATCTCATAATTCTACAGGTGCTTACATTGTAACAGTATCCAGTAGTCCTTTAATGGAGCTGGGTTACGTAATTCTTAGGTATGACTGGCTGTCTTGTGTTCTTGAGATTCGTCTTACTCGCTCATCTGGGCGACCTTATTCGATCGGTGTCTCCCTGGGTTATGTAGGCGCTTGCGACACTGTGCTGCCAGGATTGCAAATTGCGTTGATACTGCTGAGCTGTCAGACTGCTGGATGGTTAAATCTTGGATTCAGAGGAATCCGATTCATGTAGACTCATTACCGGTTGGGGCTGTCCTCGCTTTCCCTAAAACGGTCGTTGCGGGCTGGGCTTCCTGCTAGGGCCCTACCCTGGTCAGGGAGTTTGAAACTTCCAGGGCAGGGGAAAGCAAAACTACAAATTCTAGAACAAATAAATGAATAGACGTTACAGTGATCCCAAGCCGGAAGCGAGGGAAAGCGGGCGATACACGTAGACTTGTTACGTGCCTTGCAATTCGGGTCAACATCCCCGAGGTATGTGCCTAGGCCATAAGCAGCCACAGCCGTCTATCTAGAGTAAGCCAATAAGCAGTGGCTCTTTAGAGCGCAGGAATAGGAAGGACTGTGGGCTGTTGCTAGTGCTCCGAGATGTCCGGGTGGGTGCTTTCAGGAGCGGAAGCAGCGGCAACTGCCTTAATATGTTGAAATGAATGCCATGACCCTTTAGAGACCAGGCAAAATGGCAAAATGCAGATATAACGCGGCCTACAAAGGTTGGGGGTTTTCACCTCCCCGTTGCATGAGGGGCGTTACCAGCTAAACAGAAGCCCGTTTGGCCTCAACCCCATGCTCACGTCATGACGTCGCCATCATGATCGCCCATCATCACGTACAGGTCCTTGTCAATCGCCACGGCCACATGGTTGTTGCGGGCTGACACCGGCAGCTCCGCAGCGTCCTCCGAGGGAACAGCCGCCGCTGGGGTGGCACCAGGTTCCGTGCTGGCAGGGCGATCTCCAGCCTCACCGCCAGCAGCAGCTGCAGCCTCACCAGCAGCAGCCTCACCGCCCTCTTTAGCTGCCTCACCGCCAGCAGCCTCATCCCCGTTGGCGGGCTCTTCGGCATCGCCATCCTCCGTAGGGTTGGTGCAGATGGGATGCCTGCGGGAGGGACATTGGATGACACCCTTAAGGATGGGCCAAGGAGATTTGCCCGGGTACTGGACACAGACAAGGGATGCATAGCAGGGGGCATGCTATCCCGAAACCCTGAGATGCAACCTGTATCATGTGGCCAAGCGTGGGGGTCGGTCAGATGCCGCATGCGTCCGTGGTTGGGCATTCGGGCCGGGGACATGCCATGGATGGTGGAGGACCAAACACTCTGTCACACCGCGCTTTTTTAGCGCATGAGAAAGGGAAGTAGTGCATTATCCTATTATTACTGCCTTACTACATTCGTAGTGTAACGTTTTAACAGACAAGCAGTCCTGAACGTAAGAATTCTCTCTAACATCTCTGTCGTCTTTGACCCGCGGGACCTTGGTCTGCAGTATCGATTGCAACAACGCTGAAATGACAATTATCTGTCCTCATTAAGCATGCGTCCTAGGCGAATGCGAGTGAACAAGCGGGCAGCGCTCAAGCAAGGCATTCCGTTTGATGCCGTCGCTTGCGCGCCACATAGGACGCAGGTTAGACCATAAAAGCCAAACATCACCCTATAATTAGTTCACCCTAAATCACCCTATAATTAGTTGAACTCAGAGAACCAATTGTGCCCTTAGTTAGGGGTGTTCCAGGAAACTCGGCTACCCGGACATTGACCTTTGTCTTTTGTTCCCTGCCTGGACAACAGGTCAGCCAACATGATTTAGAAAGTGAAGCTCAGTTCCGCAAGCATCGCATTTGATTTACCAGGCTAAATTCGGCAGACTGCTTGCGCACTTCGCGAAGGCATTACAAGCGGTATACGAGACTTAGTGCGGGCGGGCTTGCCGTATGCTGCAGCATTCGCGAATACATGCGTCCCCATGCAAACTCTATCACGCCTGGCATAGATGCTATTGGTTTTGTATTGCTTCAGCTATTGAATAGGCTGTATGGCTGCTGCATTGTCAAACTGTGACGGGTGACTTGCACGAGGAGCGCTATCGGTTTGTCCGGTTCGGAACTAAGGGGAAACAAAGCTGGCGCAATATCCTTGAAAACGTCAGGCACGTAGACTGGGCAAGGACGGTCTGCTGAGCGGACCTGCATCCCGTGATGGGTTGCTCGCCCTCCGTCCCGGGACGTCAGCTTGCTGCCCAGAAACCTCAGGATAATGAAGGTGCAATGCCAGTGCACGTGGCCACCCCAACATGCGAAGCTCCATGTGCAACTACTTCAGAGCACGCATGGGTGAACCCCATGCCTAACGCGCCAGCTAATGCGGCTGATCCCGCGCCCCAAGCAAAGTGAGTTGGGTCGATGGGTGCATTACAGTGGCGTGTCGTGCATGAGTCAAGGCACGCAAGGGAGGTGCTCTGCGGCACCGCAAACGGGCTGCCGCACATTGTAAGTCGTAAACCTGTGCACATGCCCGCCTGTTTCCTATGCGGTTCCGGCGTCCCGTTGGCACGTAGAATATAAGGAGGTATACGTGGGCCAAAATGTTGGAATCCTGGGGCAAGGGACCGCTTTCTCCCATGGCTGCCAACGTCGATATGCTAGCCTGCGCGCCCGCCAAGTAGCCCCCTCACCCATACGCGTTCCGGGCACTAGCGAGATGATAACGACATAGGTGTGACCGTTCATGCATGCACTGCCACCAACCGTCTACTTACCGTCCTCTCCCTGCACATGCAGCCCCCCGGTCCCCGCCCTGATGCCGCTCTCTGGTCGGGCCGTGCACCTACGCTTCCTCCGAAAGATGGCGGCACTGACTATCAAGGTGGAGGGCGAACAAAGGAGGTGGGATGTCGCACAGACATCTCGTTCGGGGCCTTCCGGCATGTACCCGAACCGTCGTATCCATTCTCACACAGCCGCGCAACACGCCTCCACTCCAAGTCCCAGTCGCGCTCAGCCCACACACACGCACACAAACACACACATTCAACCGCCCCTGCGCCCCAGCAACCCTGCTCCGCCGCACCCTCTTACGGACCTCTCACACCTTGTCGCCGCCGATGCGCATGTTGGTGGGTGTGGCCATCACTGGCTGGGTTGCGGGTTGTTCATTCCTGTCTCGTCACGTTGCACCCTACGTCTCTGTCTCTCTGCCCAACCCCGTACGGTACCCACCAGGTTTGGCGAGGTGCCCATATACCAGGCGGTGAACGCCTTTGTGCGACCTCGCACCTTGCAGGGTCGCAAGAGCTTCATGGAGGCGGTGGCGGCCTGGTAGGGCGGAGGCCTGAGGGGCGGGCGTGGTGCGAAGAGGGTGTTGGTGTGGTCAGAAGCGCAAAGGACTGGTGGGGGCGGGACGAGAGCACGGGTAGGGCCAGAGGAAAGGGTCCCGCATGCTCCTGACACGCTGTGCTGCTTGCCTAACACATACAGCACCGTGTCTTCTCCACCGTAATGAGTCATGAGAACCCAGGCAAGCCTCCATGCACGCGCTTACGGCTTAACAAACCCCTCCCCACCCCCACACCAATGCAGCGAGCTGTCGCTGCCCTTCCTGCAGTTACAACCCGGGGGTGATAGCACTGCAGGCCACACGCCGCTCGTGTGTGAGCCCTCCCGCTGCGGCCAGGAGCTCATGGGCCGGCCGCCCCAGGTAGGGGACCGATCGGCCTGGTCCGAACAAGTCCGGAAGCCACAACAGACGCCACCCGCACACACTGCTTCTGCTGCTTGCGGGCCCCTTGCGTGCGGCCCCGTCACGTACTTCGTGAGCTACACCTGGAGCTACACCCTGGACCACCTGCTGACGATGGTCGAGGAACACTACCGCAGCCTGCCAGGTGGGTGTTGAGGAACCGGGGGGTCATCACGAGGCATAAAAGCGGTGGTGAAATGGAAGAACGGGAGCAACGCAACGTTGGCTGCACGCGCACTGTATGTCCTAGTCGGAGCGTGGCGTGCAACTACTGCCGCCGGCAGGCGGGCGCTGCAAGCCCCTCCCTACTGTTGCTGTGTCCCTGGGTCATGTACGTCTCGTTTGTCCGCCTGCTTGCTTCCCCACCGCACTCCGCGCACTCCAGGCACCATGGTGCATCGGACAGGTCTGACACCCACCGAGTGCTACCAGCCGGTGTTCTATTGGGTGGATATCTTCGCTGTCACACAACACTTCAAGGGTGGGTGGATGCCTGGGCCTGGGATGGCGGGGTGGGGGGCATACGGAACGCGCGGGGGGGTCGTGGTTCTGGTCTGCGGGTGCTGCTCTTCGGCAGTAGAGCGGAGCCACCTGCAGCCCACCTGCAGCCCTGGGATCCTGGTGGGTGGGTGGGTGCACAATAGCCGCCTGAGGGACTGTGGCCCCGAACCCAACACAACATTGGGGGTCGCACGTCACCAGCAGCGCACCGGTTCCTGTCCGCTGGTGCACCAGCCAGTGCGCCACTGCGTTCGGCAGCCGTGAGTGCCTGCATGCAGCATGCCTGACGGCCGCCTGCTGCCCGCTTCATCTCCTCCTCCGCGCTCCGTCCTCACTCCTCAGGAGACTTCAAGGATCACCCGGACAGCGACTTCCCCGGTGTGATCCGGGCGTCCCAGGTGCGGCAACAGGAGTTGTTAGGACACTGCTGGCGGGCCCGGCAGCAGGGGTGCATCACTCAGCCAGGGGATGGCCGTGAGCGCCCCGGGGCTCTCCCCGTGATGCAGCCGGTGGTGCTTTTGGGGATGTGGGCCATGTGGGCTGTCCCTGTACAATTCGGCAGCACGGCCAACATGATAGGGTGGGTAGGTGATGGAGCTAAGGCCGCCCTGCAGTGACGGGGCACTATGTACACCGCATCCCGCGCGCCATCACACTGCATGGTGCAGGCCCTTGCCAGGCTAACCATCTTGTGCGCTCAAAGCTGACGCGTAGTGTGCGTACTTCACCCGCTTGGTCGCTGCCCACCCCACCTCCCGTCCCCACAACCCTTCTCTGCCACCGCCCCAGGGTGTGTTGTTCGCTCTCTCGCCCCTGGAGCGACCCATCAACTTCACCCGGGTATGGTGCCTCTTCGAGGCCATGACGGCGCTGGAGAGCGGTGTGCCGGTGGAAATGTTGCTGGAGGCCCCGGGAAGGAGGCAGCAGCAGGGCGGGGTGGCTCAGGGCGCCCGGGGGGACACGGGGCAGCAGGAAGGGGCGGGTGGCGGTGATGTTGCGCCTGAGGCGACGGCGGCAGTCGGGGCAGAGGGGGGTGCGAAGGCGGCGGCCGTGGAGGGAGCTGCGGCCGAGGGCGCTGCTTGTGGAAGTGGCGGTCGGGAAGAGGGGTCCGTCGCAGCCCCAGGATGGAAACGGTTCAAGCTACCCCGGGTGATGGCGCTGAGCTTTTGTCCCGCACTGCAGCTGCAGCTGAGGGGCGGGGGAGGAGCCCGGAGTGGTGACGAAGACGGTGGTGGTGGTGGTGGCGGGGCGGCATTAGGGGACCTGGAGCTGGCCAATCAGGAGGCCTTCGCTGCCTTTCGCGAACGAATCAAAGAGGCGGCGGCGAGGTGTGTGGTAGACACGGGCCCTGCGGCCGTGCGGAATGGGTTGATGGACGAGGTGAGCATGGGCATGTGGGTTTGTTGGGGTTCGGCAGGTGGCTAGGTGGGCGACTGGGTGGCTGAGTGACGGTACAATGTCTTTCTTGTCTTCACTCTCTCGTGCCTCCCCCTCCGCCACCCGTGTTACTCCCCCCCGCAGCTGGTAGAGGCTGTGGCGGCTACCCAAGGTCCCACAGTGGTGGCGGCAGCGAGGGAGTGGAGGTGCGCGAGGCGGTACGACAGCACTTATCAGCCTCTTCATCACCCCTGGCGCACATCAGCGACTGCTGGGGATCCAAGTGACACTGCCAACACGCTGGAAGGAGAAGACGGGGGCGGCAATAACGGCGATGCGGATGAAGGCGATGATGACGATGGTTGCGGTAACGATGTGGTGGCGGACCGTGATAGGGATCAGGGCGATCGCGGCTTTGGCGAGGAGGAGGACGAGCCCGAGGAGGATGAGGATCCCGAGGAGGATGAGGAGAGTGACTCTGAGGGAGAACGTGACTATTCTGAATCTGGTGGCAATGAGGGAGGGGCGGCGGGGGATGAGGTGCAGGACGGTCACATGACGGATGAGGAGAAGCTTCGGAGCTTGGCGGCACAGATTCGTTTCCTGATGGGCGGAAGAGAAGGAGGAGGTGGCAGTCGCGGCAGTGAGGGGGAGGATTTCAACGACGAACACAGTGGTGGCGGTGACGATGACGGCGACCAAGACGGTGGTGGTTACTGCAGCTCGTCACTGACTGGTGATGACACCGAAGCCCGCATCGACATTGCGCCACAGCCCGGCCTGCACTCAGCAGGGCGCGGTGACACTACCAACACAGGACACCGGCGCTGTAGCAGCGACAGCACCAGCACTAGCAGCGCCACACATAACCACCACACACAGCAGCCGGTGCCCCTCGGAGCTGGCGGCCTGGCGATCGCAGCAGTGGACGTGACACAGGCCCAAGCGACGGTCGCTGCGGATTACGACTTCATTCTGGGACTGATCCGGGCTGGTCTGGGGGTGGAGGTGTTCAACCGGGTGCTGCAGGAGCAGCTGAACCTGAGGCTGAGGGAGCGGCTGCTGGTGCAGGTGGGTCGGGAGGAAATGAGGAGGGTTGGGTAGCGGTCGGAGGAGGTAGAGGTGTTGGTGCAGACGGGAGCCGGGAGCGCAGGCAGGTAGGGGTCTTCGAGTGTGGCGGTAACGGGGACGCCGCCACCCTACAACTGAGCCACAATTGAGCCACCGGCCTCCCCGCACCATCGCTGGCAGGCATGGTCTGATGGGGATCACCGGTCCGCCGCTGCACTCCTGGCCGGTGGCGCCCGCTGCCTGTCCCCAGTGCTGGAACTCACCTTTCCGGGGCCGCGTGCCGCCCGGCGCTGCAGCCCCACCCTGGCGGCGGCGCTGCGGTGCAGCGGCGGCGTCCAGGACCTCCGGCTGAGATGCCGCAACCCGGCCGCGTGGCGGCGGTACCTGGATGGTGACGTGGTTGCGTTTGTGGTGGCTGAGGCACTGGCGGCGGCGACGCCGGGAATCAGCATTGGGCAGCTGCAGGGATCAGCGGCCAACAGCAACGGTGATGCTGATGTCACAGGCGACGGCGCTTCGAACCCAAACGATGGCTTGGGTTTGGCCTTAAACGCTGGAGGTGGCGGCGGTGGTGGCGTTGACGGCGTGGAGAACGGCAATTTCTGTGGCATGGGACTGCGCTCTCTATCCTGGTGCCTGCCGGTGGGGCCTCTGGGCTGCCGGGCGCTTGGCGAGGCTCTGTGCCTCAACACCCGTCTGACGGACCTGCGGCTGGAGGGCTACTGGTTCCGTGAGGAGACGATGGAGCCGCTGGTGGCGGCCCTGGCGGCCGGCAACAGGTCCATTGTGAAGTTCCGGCTGTTCGGCGGCGAGCTGGGACACCGGGGGGCGGAGCGGCTGTGCGACTGGATTCGGGTGGGTTAGGTGCAGGTTCGGAGTTTGGGGCGTGATGGCGAACGGATAGCCAGAGATGCCACATTATTATGGAGTGGTTGGCGTACGGTAAGACCGGTTGGCACACGGGCACAGTGGAGCGGCCGCACCGGGATGGGCGGGGCATAGGGGGGTGCCTGGGGAAGGACATAACCCAGCCATCCCAGCGACTTTCCCCCCACCATCACCCTGCCTGCCTGACACGCCCAGACGCTCTTCCCCTGACTCACCACCCCTACCGGTACCCGCTCGCCCTCACCCTTCCTCTTCCCCTAGGCCAACCCCGCCCTGGTCCACCTGGAGCTGGTGAACGGCGGCCTCACGGACCTCCAGCTGCCCGCCCTGGTGGCCGCCATCCTTGCCGCGGGCCGCCTGCAGCACCTCAACCTGCTGCAGAACCTGCTCACCCCCGCCTCGGGCCCCGCACTGGAGGCGCTGCTGGCAGGTACCGCAACACTGCGCTTCCTAAACGTTGGCAACGGGGGTGGTTTGGGTCTTGGGGCTGAGGGCTATGCAGCCGTGTCCCGAGGGTTGGGGCGGAACCAGAGCCTGGAGGAGCTGCATTGCCCGGATGTGGGGCCGGAGGGGCTGCGGGCGCTGCTGCGGGCGTTTCGGGACCCCGCGGCCCGGTGCCGGGGGGTGCTGCGGGAGGTGGGGACGATGGAGTGGGGTTGGCTAGGCGGCTAGGCGGGGAGGGTGTCGGACCACAGCCTGTGCTCCTCGGCAGGCTGAGAGGGCTTGGGGGTGACCTTATTAGTACGTACTGGAATTACGATGATATACAGTACTGTACAACCGGAGGTCGGCTGGAAAGGAATGGTGCGAATTAGTGTCAGGCATTTGCTTTTCGGGGGGGGTGTTGACAGACGTTGCGCTGGCGGGGCTCTGCTGCCCGAGCTAGCGCCGTAAGTGTTAAGCATCTAACAGCGTTTCCTGTAGCAGAGCGGATCCACGCGGGGCTCGCAGCTGTCGCATCTGACGTGATGTTTTGTTGTCGTCATTGTTGAGGGCTGAATTGTGTCAGGTCCCCGCACGCACCGAGCGGGTCTCTTGGTCCAGACTACCGTATACGGCTGCAGGCAGACGCTTGAAGTGCAAAGGCGGGAGGGATGATTCCAAAGCGAGGTGGGTAATGGCCCCATGCACGCCGTGACGTGCTCGCCGTGCATAGCACCCTGTTGACAATGTAACTGTTTTGCCAGAACCCATAACTACATACGGGCACTACCTACTATACTGTGTCCGGCGGATTGTCCAGTGTACCGGTGTGAGGCCTGGATGTGAAGACAAGGATTCAGCACGGACCGCACGTGGCAGGCGTTAAACGAGAGGACAGGCCAAATCAATCCGTCAGACAGTTAGTAGTAAATTGGTGTACAGATGGTCCAGCTCTTGCACGTTGCATCGCATGACGCCGCACGTGTATCGGCGAAGAGGCGCGGCTCCTCCGCGGTGCGCGCTGGCCAGCCCTGGCCATGTAGTCAAACCTTCACAGAACAGGACAAATATAAATAACTCTTATAGAAACCGTGTAGCATGTTTAGACTACTCGTTACCGGTAGGTTCGTGGGCCGGCACCATCGCAGGTGGAACAGCCATCGACCTTCCATGGATCACTGTTTAGCAGCCTGGTAGCAATTTCAGGTTGGACCACCTGGTAAGCGAGGACTGTGGTGATGCAGTTTGACCTTTGCGGCACCGCCAGGTCACAAACAGCTACCGTACACGTCCACCCCATTGCTCGGTCACCACCAGGGTGTTGCACGCTGAGCAAGATCGTCAAAGCACACATGACTTGGTAGCTGGGTTCGACCTGCGGCTGCAGCGGGAGCCCTGGGTGCTGCTGTGCCGGCGAGCTGTGCGCAGGTGCCGCTGCTGGGGGTGCTGGTGGCGGCGGCCTGGCAGCGGGTGGTCGTGCAGTGGAGGATGCAGGCGGGAGGTGCGGGTGGGAAGGGCGGATTGGAGGGACCCCTGCGGTTGAGGTGCTATGCAACACTTCGAGGGGAGCGGCATGTGCTGCAGTGGAGGGTGTAGGCGAGGGCTGCGGGAGGGCTGGCGCATATTGCCAGGTTGAAATGGGGTGGGTAGGGGAGGCCGAGCAAGGGCTCCCCGGCACCAGAGCGGACCCTCGTGGCCTCCGCCTACTCCCCACTTTATCGTTGCTCTCCGCTGGAACTCCACCTTTCCACTTCCCAGTCCAATGGTACCTACATACTCCCGCGCCATGTGGGAGTCTACAACCACATGTGAGAATGATGGCCCACATTACATGCACATGTGGACGTCCACCACATGCACGGTGGCACATGCGCGGGGTAACTGTCCGGCAGGCAGTCGACGCCTGTTGGTTTGGCGCCGTACAAGGTGCTGCAGTTGGGGCAGAGCATGACCGGGATATCCACGTGAACGGGTTGGTCCCAGCAGACGATGACCGCCTGCCAGGGCTGCTTCCCCGCACTGCATGCAGGTAGTAGGTGTCAGCGAGTTCACGGCTGTCACAAAGGCGTGCGGACGTCGCACCGCTAGGGCCTTTTTCACTGTCATCATCATCTGTGAACACATCCTCATCATTGCTCTCGCTGTCCTCGGCGATGGCGGCCATGTCGTCGTCGGGGGCCCCGCGCCCGGAATAAGGAAACAGAACAGAAATTGGTGCTGTAATGAGAAACGTTCTTTGGGTAGGCAAGGGCCTTATGCGGGGTATACGGGGGGCGCGGGGCCCGTTGTTTCAATTCTATACTTTCCTCCTTCTCCTTAAGGTAACGAAATATGAAGGAAAGTAAACATCTATAGTATAACCTAAAGTTGTAAAACAATGAGGTTTTCCTGGGCACGTTTCGCCAGCTTCACCAGCGAGGACATGGCCTCGTTACGAGGCTTTTCTTGGCAGGACGTGATGGTGACTGGCGGCCGCCTATTTATCATCAACCAAGTGGTCTTTGGCTTGCAGCTCAAGGCCGAGACAAGCGAAATTAGATACGAAATGGTGGTAGTGGGGCGGAAACTAGGGAAGATAGAGGCTAGGGAGGTGGAAGCAAGGGAGGTTGGGGAAATGTGGTGTGGAGAAAGGGGTGTAAGTAGCTTAGGAGGGGCGGTGTGCAAAGGGAGCGGGGCTGCATGCGTGGGGGAGGAAGGGAAAGCAAAACTACTAATTCTAGAATGAATGAATGGCCGTTACAGTGATCCCAAACCGGAAGGCAAGGGAAAGCGGACGATACACGTAGACATGTTACATGCCTTGCCACGGTAGATGGGCAATTCGGGTCAACATCCCCGACGTATGTGCGCTAGTACCGTAACGAGTAAAGCATGAGCGCGCAGACCCCGTTTGAGACTCCCTGTCGCCTGGTATCTTCGTATAAATACATTGAAGCATGTGTACAAATACACGAGCTAAGCGGCGCCCATGAATCCGCAAAAGATGTTGTTGCCGCACCTTGGCAGACCCTTACGGAAAACACTCAAGTCTGCCATGTACTGGGTTGCCAGCCTTGCCACCTTCGGAAGGAAGAAACCTTCTCCTCAGTCCACATGCTCTCGTGGAGCTTCCCAATAGCAGCACAGTAGCAGCACTCTTCCCTCCTGTCATTTCGCCAACGAACGTCCTGCCTGCCTAGCCCACATCGCTCACCCATGCGACTCCTCTGGAGAACCACTGCCCCGGGAAGTCCACGTCACGCCTGCCTAACCCAACCACGCAAACAGGAAGGAAGTTGACGAAGGCGCAAAAGCCATCCAAGCAAGAACGTTGCCTGTACGGGGCCCTTCTATGTTAACATGTGCGGCCGTACAAGAAGAAAACCACATCCCAAGTGGGCCATGTGCGGACAGTAGTCCAGTCATGCATGCGGCAGGGGCTGCGACGACGCACAAAGCCCACAAAGTCAAAACCCCCTTACCGGGCGTCCCATAGGAAGACTAAAGACGCCCCTGAAACGGCCTTCGAGCAGAAAAACACCAGACAGCGCACGCACCTTCCTTCCATTCCCGCCGCAACCAAGGCGACGATATACACACTCAAGAGGTCACAACCATCCCACGACAATAACCGTTATGACTCATGTCTGACACTCTCTGCAGAAGTCCGGATGCTTGTGCTCGCACGCACACCAGCGGGTATATGTCCCCTATACGGTATTGAGTAAATAAGCAGCCAAACAAGTGACTTGAAGGATTGTATGCCATGACCTCCTGTTGAGTCCGCCTGCTGAACTGCTACAAACCAGCACCAATCCTCATAAACCTCGAGCCAGTCAAACGGGGTCAACAACGCACCGCCAGCTCACCCGATTGCACCAGGGTGAGAAACGCCCATGTAAGGATCAAACACGAGACAGAAACCAGAAGACGGCATCACTCCGCCTATAGCCCATGTATGTGGCCCTAAGAACGGCATCACTCTCTACAGGTACGCAAACCTTGCATCTTGCACCCACCACATTGCGCACCTCAGCACCCACCAAGCCGCTCAACTAGACCGCACAGCTTCCATTCCTCTGTACATACCCAGCTCCATCCACCATTATATGTATATAAGCAGCAGCCAGCCCTAGAGCGATCAATGCTAATGCAGGAATATAGATTAACCGCCACATTTGATCAATACCCCACACGCACCCTAAGCCGTTCACGAGAGCCCGGGTTGCACCCGACTGACTGCTAGCCGTTGAGGCCGCCTGCCGGCCTCCTCCCCATGTGGCCTCTGCTGCCGCCTACGTGTTAAGCAGCATCCACGGACTGCGCAGCCGCCGTCGCTACTACAACCGCAGCCGGAGAGGGGTCCTCATCAGACGCGCACTCAGCCGGTGCCTCAGCGTTCCCGACACCAGGACCGCCCGCCTCATCCTTACCCACCGACTGCTCTCCAGCCCATGTCTCCCCGCTGCTAACCTGTCCCCCCTCACCCAAGGAACCCTCCTCCTCCTCTTCCTCCTCCTCCTCCTCCGTGTTCTGCTCCTCGCTGCCGCTACCCCGGCTGCTGAGCACCACCTCTGCTGATGAGCCTAGCACCACGGTGGATGCGTCGCCTGAGGACTGCTGCTCCCCGGAAGCAACCCCGCAAACACCGTCACCACCGGTATCACCACCACCAGCAGCAGCTGCCAGTTTGCCCTCCTTGGCAGCCTGCTTGTCCTTGTCCTTGTCTTTGGAGGCCTTGCGACGGCTCTGCATGGCTGCGGCCGCTATCGCCACCTCCTCGGGGCTCAGCGGCGCCAGCAGCTCCCGCAGCGGATCGGAGCTGGTGGCGAAGATGCGAGCGGCGCGCTCGAACTCGCGACGGAGGATCTGGTGAGGTGGTGAAGTGGTGAAATGGGGGTGGGGTGATGGACAGTGCGACAGTTGGAATGCGGCAGTTGGTGTAGTACGGCACGCGATGCGGTGTGGTGGTGCATGCCGGGCATGCGGCCCTACCGTACTAGGGTTGGTTGGGGAGGCAAGGAGGCTAGCTAGCGAAGCATGCGTTCTGCCCCTACTTGCATCTCAGCCGCAGCATTGATCCGCTGTGACGCCTTCTGGCTGCAGCTGCCCCGGCACCTAGGTGTACGGTCCTCCGCCCACCCACCTGCACCGCCGCCTTGTCGATGGTGCGGCCCAGGTCGTTGCTGAGCTCGAAGGGGTCCTCAATGCACATCAGGTGCCGCTCGTTGCCCTGCAGACACGGCCAGTCACGCCATCAGCCAGTTGGTGCAGGTGGTTAGATACATCAGGTACTGTCCTCAACAGTGTAGCATGCTACCAGCGAGCATGCAAGTGCCGCTGCTGCGCGAGAAACTCGAAAGGCTTCGCAGACTCTCATGCACTCTCGCACTGCATGGTTTCGCATCCATCCAAAGCTATACGAGCGCGCCTCTAGTTCTCTAGCCCCCGTGTTCCAGGAGGAGGACAGCCGGGTGCGAAGGGAGACAAAGGGACGTTTAAGTAGACGAATAGGCACAAACGCTACTTGAAGGAAAGGGGCAGCGGACCAGTAAACCATTTTCCTACTTGCTCATACTTTGATAGAAAAGATAAAGCATGCGCAAATCGCATAAGCTGCTTCACCCCTCAGTGTCAAGCGGGCTCACACCACCCAAGTGTAACTCAGCCTAAGGTGTCGGCATGCTGTCCACCGTTTCCTTGAAGACGTCTGGTCTATTGGTAAGGTGTGTTGCCAGTATTTGCGTTAAATTATTTCTTGCGCTTACAATAATGAAACGCGAGCAGAATGGGGCCACTGTAAGGTGGGTAATAATAGTATATTCAAAACTACCTGCGTCTGCCGAAGTGTTTACAGTACTGTACCGAAGTCACGGGGAGAGTCCGACACACAAGCAACCGATTCTCTTACCGATAAGATATGACGTTTCGGGACTAAGCAAAGCGTTACCTAGGCTATACGCTACGCCTCTGTGCTAATGTAACTCCGCCAATAGTAAGAGGAGTCGTTAACAACAGTGAATACGCGGTTTGCATCCGTATTACAAGTATACTTTTGAAAAGGCTAACAACTTCTAATTGATAATGATGCTTGAAGTTGTGCGTATACAACAAATGGGGGGTCTGGATCCAGACATGGATCTGCTGGTACCACTACAATATATCTGTCATCTTGCTTGCGCGCTATTACTCTATCCACGCTGCAAGTGAAGTGCAATAAAAGTTCGGCTTAAACGGACTCCTTGATCGGGCGAATGTGACGGTGCAGCATCGTGTGGCTGTTGACCCCCTCGTACCCCCGTGTTCAGGGAACCCGAGCAACCCTCAGCTCTGCCGACAGACCCAAGAAGAGGAAGCACTTCCACCTCTGAACTGCTACCTACCAAACATCGCCTACTCCTCCTGGCTCTCTGCTCCACACTACCAGCACCCTGTTCTCTTCTACCACCTCTTCTCTCCTCTGGCCCCCAGCTCACCCCCTGTTCCCTACTCCCTGCTCCCTGTTCCCTACTCACTGAACCTCCTTCATCCTGCTCTCTACTCCCTACTCCATGCTCCCTGTTCCAAACGCCCTGCTCCCTGCGCCCTGCTCCTTGCTTCCTGCTCCCTGCTCCTGGCTCTCTGCTCTGGTCCCTACTCCCTGCCCCCTGTTCCCTATTCACTGCTACCTCCTTCCTGGTCTCTACTCCCTACTCACTGCTCCCTGCTCCCTGCGCCCTGCTCCCTGCTTCCTGCTCCCTGCTCCCTGCTCCCTGCACCCTGCTCCCTGCGCCCTGCTCCCTGCGCCCTGCTCCCTGCTCCCTGCGCCCTGCTCTTTGCTCCTGGTTGCCTGCTGTCGGCTGTTTGCTGCATGCCGTCTGCTGTTCTTCGCCATGGTCTCCCCCCCGGGGCTCTACTCCTCTTCTGGTTCAGCTACCCCTGGTACAGGGACAGGATATTCTCTGGATAGCCGAACCTGGAGCCTGGCTCCACCTTCCTCAAGGCGATGCACCTTGCATAGGACCTCCCGGTGCGCCCACACAGCTGTAAACTCCGCCATGGCGTTTGCTTCAACTCCGCTGTAATGAGGCGCATCGGCAGGGCGTCAAGCATGGCCTCCGGTAATGCTGCCACCCGGAACTGTGCCATCATGAGCCTCCGCAAGTCATCCACCACCTGTGTGACCACTGCTGCTGACGTTTTGGCCTCCTCCTCAGCCGCTTGGTGTGCACACCAGATGGCATGCAGGAACGTCAGCCGGAGTGCGTTCCATAGCTTGACCAGTCCTGGGCTACGGTTGGCTGCTGGGTGCCCTTGCCAGGAGTTTGGCTGATCTCCAAACATGAGGGCCGCATTGTCGACAGGTGGGGACTCCCCTTCCGTGATGGTCACCCACGTCTGCCCCAGCAACTGCCTTGCTTCTAAGTACTGCGGGCACTGCAGGAAAATGTGAGTTAGGCTGTCCCGTGGCCGGTACCGTGCTGCGAGCTGCGAGCAGCATGGCTGCTGGCAAACGTGCCGATTGATGCTATGCCGTTGACCCCGCTTAGCTGCCAGATAGAGTCCACAGGGCAGCCTTGCATGAGCCAGCCGCCACCCCAGAACCTTCGCCCGGTTGCCCGCTGAACATTCCCACAACCTAAGCCAGGCGTGCAAGTGATCCCGGCCGGTGTAGTGCTGCTGCTGCTGCTGCTGCTCCTGCTGCTGCTGCTGCTGCTGCTCCTGCTGCTGCTGTTGCTGCTGAGATTGCTGCTGCGGCTGGAACCCCTCTGTCCCCTGCACCTCTGCCGCTGACTGTCCTCCGCCGGCCATCTGCTGGATATCCTGGCTGTGCTGCTGCGGCAACAGCTGGTGCTGCGACTGTCCACCCTGACGCTGTTCCCTCCGCTGCCTCCGCTGTTGCGCTGCTTGGTGCCTGGCATCACCCAGGTTGGGCTGCATCCAGCTCGGCGGTGGTGGTGAGTAGTGGGTGAAGCGGGACGAGCCACTGTGGGGTCGTTCCTGCTCCCATTGAGGCTCCATCTGCTGCAACGTGCTGCGTGGTGCCGATGTGCTGCCTCCTGCTCCTTGGGAGCTTGTGGGGCTGCCTGCCAGTGGCCAAGCAGCTGGGCGGAGGGGGACACTGCCCTCCCCCATCTGCCTCTCTGCCTTGATGGTAGTGAGGCGGTGGCGGGCATTGCTAACCTCGTAGTGGACGAGTGAGACCTTACCATGACCATGGCCTGCCGGGTAGCACTGAAGGGTAGCCCACGGGCCTAGCACATGTGGTTCAACTGGCCAAGCTGCAGCCTTGTCCTGGGGTGGTGCCGCAGCGTAGTTCTCGCGCTCCTCCAGCGTCCAAAGGGCCCTTCTCTTCCTGCACTTCAGCACGCATGCAGCATGCCATGCCGGGCTGGGCTGGGGTACTGGGAGTTGCGGCTGCGGCTGCACCAAGCGTCCTGTGGAAGTGACTGCCCACACGCTGCCGGTTGGGTCGCTGATCCACCCTCCGCACGGGGAGGAACTCCATGTTGGCAGCTGTGGGATGGGAGCTGTCACTGGGTCGGGCGGCAGCAGCTCTTTCCAGCTCAGCGGTAGGGCGGCCCTGATTTCACACAGCAACGGCAGCTGCATGGTGGTAGTGGTTGCCCTCTGTAGGTCGCCCAGTGTGAGGGGCAAAGCGGCTGCGGCCCCTGATGGGAAGGAGAATGGCTCTGACGAGGTTGGGTCAAGAATGGCGGCATTGTAAAAGAGGGGCTCTGCTAGGATGGCCCGGGCGTCATCGTCCTCCACAGATAGGCTGAGACGATTGGGGCACGTGTTGCGGTAGGCCTGGACCAGGTCCTGCAGTCTAGGGGGCAGGTCTGCCGGGACTGGGCATGTGCCAAACACCCAACCCCAGCCCGTGGTGCCAGGGGGTGCTGCCTCCGTCAGCAGGTGTCGGTGCAGCTGCTTCCAGGGTTGGTTACCGGGCTGAGCGAGCTGCACAATGGTCTTGGCTTGCAGGGCATCCAGAAAGGACTGCAGGTCTATGTGCCCGATGCCGCCTTGGTCCCTGGAAAGGCTGGCAACCCCTTGCTTTGGCAGCAATGTGGCGTAACCGCCAGATACCAGACTGGCATCTTACTTCTGGGAGTGTCGACCAGGCCACGAACCCATCCACCGTCCGTTGGGCCCGCTGTAGTTGCTCTGGCCGAGGGGAGACGAAGGAGAAGTGATACGCCAGCGTGTTGCCCAAGACTTGCTTGGCGATGTGGGTCCTGCCGACCATGCTGAGGGAATGCGGGCTCCAGCGACTGGCCACCTGCTTAAGCCTGCCTATCCTACCATCGTAGCAAAGTTTAGCTGCTGTGGGGATGTCGTCAGTCAGAGGGACTCCCAGATGTCGGGGCGGGTGACTAGCACTAGGCTCCCCAAAATGTGCTTCTGTCGCCGCATGGGTACCAGAGATAGGGCGATGGCTGCACACGTTTGCCTAAAACATTGTCATGAGTAAGGCGACTATGCCAAAATGAATTCGCGGGGAACGCGGTAAACCATCACTGCAACTACCTCGCGAATGGTTACCGTAATAAAGGGACAGTCCGCCCATCTGCCAACCCGCCTCTATCTCTGTTTTTAGACGACACCATGTCACAGGTGTCGCCATCCCACTACCGACGGCTTTAGTAAATAATCAATGGCAGTGTATCCACATCCTGCAGCAACACAGACCGCCAGCGCAGTGTATGACGCTGTGAGGGGCGGGGGGGGGGGCTTTCTATGCACAATGCTATGACCCACACATACTTAGCACCACGCTACCTATCCGTACGGCAATGGATTTTGTAGCAAATTAGCACGCTTCTACACCGGGAGTAGTAAACGGCAATGGATTTTGTAGCAAAATAGCACGCTTCCACACCGCCGGGAGTAAAAATTATTGCATACCACCGCTGCCCATTAAAATTGAACACCGCGCATTACCACACGACGCGCGCCATTAAGACCCATGGGTCATTCAGTGTTAATGTTGAGCTGACGTGCGTGCACCTCCTTCCCACACGTGCAGCAGCATGCTTACCGAAAACCCGCTTCAATGTATCTTCCTATTTCCACTATGTGCTGGATTCCCGAAATCCCAACCTATGTTCATGGCGCTCCTGCAGCGGCTATCTAAATAATCCCTGATATCTTCGGGTTCGCTTGTGGTGCGTTCTCTGTGCTTAGCTATACCATCAATAATCTCCGATGTCGTCTCTTCGCAGTGACTGCCGTGTACTGGTGCAAGTAGTTGAGGGCGATATTGAACGCCTCCAAGTTAAACCAGTGAAGCGTATGTACATTGTCGCCTGGAATGAGGATCTGCTCCGGCACTAAACCTGCAACCATCAGCAGCCGCAACCATCGAGACGTGTAAGCAGCGCGCCGGGTACTGTACAAAGAAAAACTAGTTTGTGTATAAATACAGCGTCACCCACCTTCACCCATGGCAGCAATGTCGATGAGGGGCACATTGAGCTGTCTTGCCGTGGAACGGATAGCTGCGTTCATCTGCGGCGTGTTACAAATGCCGTAAGTTAGTTAAGGATTTACGGCAGCCGTCCACCGCGTAATGGCATTATTCCCACCTGGCCAACAAACATCTTCTTTGCCCAGTGCTTATTCAGCGGTGGCAGGCCTGTATAGCAGTCGTACCTGCATACACGTCATGACCACGACGGCAACTCAAGCGAATGTATGGAAGACGATTTTACGTATATAGCAGTCAACCCGTACAGCAGCACAAGGCAGCTACGCTCTGACAGGCAACGTGTACGATGCAATGCATAGCTTGCTTGCATAGGCCGCACAGCCGTAAAGGGACAGTCGTGGCGCGCGGTGTGGACCCATGCAGCAGCAGCCGCAGTTATCTGTCTCTAGAAACCCCGCTGCGGTACGCACCTCGGAAAGGCATTCGTCCGCGCAACAATTAACGCCTGCGTTATTGAGGATTACGCACAGAGGGGTGCGCCCAGCAAAAGCACTCATGCGCCGTCCGGGATTTGCACCCGGGTCAGTCGCGTGATCCTTGCTAAGCAGTGGGAGGCGACTATGCTGCTACTACACCAACGGCGCAGCGGATGTCCTCAAGC